TTATCTAGCAACCCAGGACATCTAGGCAATAACAGGACATCTAGCAATAAAAGGGACTCCTGGCGGGAACATGCTATCTCTCTACTGTAGAGAAAATGAGTCCATCATTGACTGTGAATAATACAGTTATTTGACAGAGGATTTCAGTAGATGCACCTTATCAAGTTAAGTGCACACCTACTCCAGTATTTAAAGTTTGTTGCTGTTGTTGGTTAAAGATAAATACTAAATTTTTTTCTACATCCAATTGGATGACTGTATTATTTTTATCTGTTAATGAGGTAAAGTATATTAACAGCAGATTTTTCTCAAGAAAACACATGCTTACAGCCTTGGAATTAAACCTAACTGTATAATATGTCTGATTTCTTTTGTATTATTGGATTTGGTTTGTTGATCTTTTATCAAAGAATGTTACCTCTCCGTTCACAGTTGAGACTGATCTGCAATTTTTCTTTACCATTCTGCCCCTATTGCTTTTGATCCAAAGGTTACTTCAAACATCAACCTACACTGAAAAGTATTGACCTTTTTTGGTATTTTTTTGGAAGACTTTTTATAAAATTGGAACTGTTTGTTCTTTTAATTCTTGACAAAACTAGAGTATAATATATTCTCTTTGGAGGAAAAATCAGAAGTCATGACACTATTCCTTTAACGGTTGTAGGGTTATTCAGGTTTCCTATTTCCTCGAGTCTGAAGTTTTATGTTTTTCCTAGGTAATTACCCATTTCATCTAAGCCTGAAATTTATTTACACAGAGTCATTCATATTATTCTAATCACTGCTGTCTCTACCTGGAGTTATTTCTCTTTTCTCATTCCTAACATTTTTTTTCCCTGACCAGCTTTGTGTATGTTAATCTCATTAGTCTTTTTGAAGAATCCACTTTCAGTTTTGTTGATCTTATCTTGCTCTTTTGCTAACATCTTAAATTGTATGAATAGCTTATTAATTTTAACTATTTCTTCTTTTATACGATAAGCAGTGATAGTACAAATTTCTCTGGGAAATTCAAATCCCACAGATTTTGATGCAAAGTATTTTTAAATCATTCTAAGTATTTTCTAATTTCCAATGTGATTTCCTCTCTGACTCTTGAATTATTTATGAGTGTAGTTTTTAAATTTCCAAGAGGACAGATTTTTATGAGTGTGAAAGATCCTCAGTCGTGTCTGACTCTTTGCGACCCCATGGACTGTAGTCCATGGAATTCTCCAGGCCAGAATACTGGAGTGGGTAGCCTTTTCCTTCTCCAGAGGATCTTCTTAACCCAGGGATCAAACCCAGGTCTCCCACATTGCCAGTGGATTCTTTACCAGCTGAGCCACCAGGGAAGTTTTATAATAAACTTTTTTTAAATCACTGATTTGTTGGTGTGGGGCCTTGGATTCACAGAACAAGCCAAATGATAACCAATTCTCTGAAATGTCATGAAGACTTTCTTTATGACACATACAGCCATTTTTGGAAAATACTTAATCATTATTGACCAGAGAGGTATTATGGCCACAAGTGTTAGTGTCTATAAAATCCCCTGGTCAATAAATGTGTTAAGAACATGAGTACAAAGAGACAGATATATGTACGTGAATGGGGCACACTCACATCTATGTATGTGTGACCTGTGTGTGTACTATCTACAGCTGCTTTCTCATTAAAGGGGGAGAAAAGAGCAGCTGTGACCTAGAGCCTAAAATATTTACCATCTCATCCTTCGCCAAGACAGTTCATGAACACCCCTTAGCATCTTACCTTACACTTCTCCTTTGTGGCAACAGTCACAAAAAAAGCTTAATTAAGTCAATACTAAATGGCTGTTTTCTCAGCTAAAATATAAACCTGAGAGTAGAGAATACACTGTCATTTATTGCTGTGTCTGCAATTCTAGCAATCTCCCTGGCCTACTAAGAACACTCAAATATCTGTTGATTTCATATAAATTCTGAAGTTAAATATGTGTTTTTCTGTTCTCTTATCAGTATCAGTATCCTCTTTTATTTGCTTTTACTTTATCACATCTGTAAAAAGGAAAGCTCTATATTTTTAAAATCAGCATTTCTAAACCTGTATTGCTATCACAAGAGTTACTCATCAAAAAAGAAACTCAGTGGTTAAATAAGTTTGGTTAACAAAATATTCTATATCACCCTCTGCCTGACTCACAGTGTGATAAGCATATTAAAGATCGCACAAAACTTATGGTAGGGAAATGTACTTAATTATTTATAAATCTGGATCTCCCCCCCAAATTAGCCAAAGATTCTACTTCTCTCTTAGTGCTTCTTAACATTTCAAAAAACATTGTTTTAGAAGATGCAGCAATAGCACACAATGGAACTAGAATGGGGTCAGTTTCCCTCTGATCACGGAGGGCAAAGAAGCAGACAGCCAACCGTTGAGGGTTCATGGACCATTTGTTCTGTTTTGCAATTACTTATATTTATCACTGACAACATGTAAATGACTGTCTTCGAATAAAACTTTATTTACAAAAACAGGTAGTCAAATCCCTATGTTGTGTAACAGGAACTAACAGTGCTACAGGTCAATTATATTTCAAAACCAACTCATAGAAAAAGATCAGATTTGCGGGCACCAGAAGTGGGGGATCGGGGAGGGGGAAGTGTAGGAAGGTGGTCAGAAGCTACAAACTTCCAGTTGTAAAGAAAATAAGTACTAGGGATGGAATGCACAACATGATAAATATAATTTATTTATTAACTGCTGTAAGTTACATATGAAAGTTTGTTAAGAGTAAATCCTAAGAGTTCTCATCACAAGAAATATTTTTTCTACTTAATTTTGTATTTAGGAGATGACATTCATTTAGTGTATTATGGTCATCATTTCATAATGCAGGTAAGTCATTTTGCTGAACACCTTAAATGGATACAGGGTCGCATCCGACTCTTTGCAACTCCATGGACTGTAGCCTGCCAGGCTCCTCTGTCCATGGAATTCTCTAGGCAAGAATGCTGGAGTCAGTAGCCATCCCCTTTCCTGGGGAATCTTCCTGACCTAGGGATTGAACCCAGGTCTCATGCACTGCAGGCAGATTCTCTATTGTCTGAGCCGCCAGGGAAGCCCAACGTGTACAGTGCTGTATGTCAATTATGTCTCAATAAAACTGAGAGAAATAAAAAGTGGTAAGCTTAGATTTGGACCAATGGCCAGAAATTGCTGACCCCTGCACAAATGGACTGAAAATGACCTACACTGTCTTCCAATACAGTAGCCACTAGCCACACGTGTTCGTTTAAATTACTTGAAATTGATAGTTCCTTAATCAAGCTAGTTACGTTTCAAGTAATTAATAACCACTTATGGCAAGCGACTACTGCCATGAACAGCAGAGAAAAACATTTTAACTTCTCATTAACCCCTTACAGAAAGTTTTCTCTCTTTTTTTTTATATGTCGCTTTATTTTACACTGAAAATTTAAGTTCTGGGTAATAAGAGAAAAGAGTACCTCAATAAAACAATGTTCAGATCAAATGAATAAGTTCACATGAACTAAAACATCTTCCATGAGGTTTATGATTCTAATTTAAGTGGAAGAAGTAGATGGTTACACCGGGAGAAGGAGACAGTGGTAACTTAAGAATTTCCCCAATGAGAGCAGACAGCTCATCTCTAAGAAAGAAGACTCCTATTCCTACTTACTAATATAGTAAGCTTGGGTTTTTATCTGCCCAGGGGTTCTTTTTCTTCAACATGTTCTTGAGTCATGCATTGAAGACTGCCCTCATCTTGAAAGACTGAAAACAAAATGCTCATCCAAACAGAAGAGTGATCAGTGACACCTCTTACCATCTCTTGGTTCACTCAGCACCACACCCCAGGGAGGAAAAGCAGAGACCATCCACATCAACTTATGAGGGGCTTCAGAGGTACAGACACCCCCTGACTTCCGCCCCTGGAATCCTCAATGGGTACACCACATCCTGGCACTGACAGGAGGATTCACATCCCCAGTTTGCAGGTAGTACATCTCCCCCCTTTACAAGTGTAACTATCCTTAACACCTGCTCGGAGTGCTGGCATTTATATATAATGCACTGACCATAAGCACTGCCATGGGTGCCTGCCAGGAACAAGCTCTTGTTAAGTGACCTACAAATGGAACCTCACTATTGAGCTCCTGGTATCTTATCAAACTGCCAAGCAGACCACTGGTGACCCTCAAATCAGCTCCCAGCCAGGGTCTTACCAGTGGCTTTAGACTGTGAGAGGGCAAACAGGGGTCTCTTACATTCTCCCTGAGCCTGTGTAACCAACTGTCATATACACAGAGACAACTCCTAACACTTGAAACTAGAAAAGAAATCCTGCAAGTCTCCATAGCAAGCAACACTTGAGCTGACCATCACTTCTTTATGGAGATCCCTAACAGGAAGTCAAGCCACACTAAGACTCAGTCAGTTCAATTCAGTTCAGTTGCTCAGTCCTGTCCGACTCTTTGCGACCCCATGAATCGCAGCATGCCAGGCCTCTCTGTCCACCACAAACTCCCGGAGTTTACTCAAACTCATGCCCATCAAGTCAGTGATGCCATCCAGCCATCTCATCCTCTGTCACCCCCTTCTCCTCCTGCCCCCAATCCCTCCCAGCATCAGGGTCTTTTCCAATGAGTCAACTCTTCACATGAGGTGGCCCAAGTATTGGAGTTTCAGCTTCAGCATCAGTCCTTCCAATGAACACCCAGGACTGATCTCCTTTAGGATGGACTAGGACTACTCCATTATAAATGTACAACTCTAGGTGAGTAAAACAAAGCATCATCACGGAGATCACAAAGCAATGTCCTAAACTCACTATTTTGATGTTTAAAGATACGACTTTATGCCATCCATTCATAAACAAAAACAGAAAACACCAAGTAGTTTCAGTCGCCTTTCAGTAAAATTAATAAACACTGCTTATCAGCCATACTAGATAAAATAAACAAAAGGTTTAACACAATTATATCAAATATAAGTTTTGAAAAGCTACTTACGTCCAAAGAATCCTCCTTCAGTAGGATAAGGGCCATGTTCTGTGATACCAACCGGCAGGAATAACCTAGAGTGAAAAAAAGAACAAGATATGTGAATTAACCATCTCCTCCAGGAACGCACCATGTTCAGAGTGACCTGAATTCAGTCCCCCTCCTGCACCTGACTGATGACCATGTTAAGCCTACGGGCTTACACAGAGGAACCGAGCAGAGCTTGCCCCATGCTGCTCAAGAAGGTCTTCATAACTAATGACTGAAAGAGCAATAAACACTTGTCAGTTTTCTGTGGATCTTCCCTTATCCCTGTTATCCTTGTAGAACAGTAGGATGAGCTCTGGGTTCTCTAGAACAACAGCAAACACTTCAGGAGACAAATGGAACCCAAAAGTCCTCCTCAATCACCATAAATGCGCCTACCATGACATTAAGTCCCTCACCTGCTTGGGACTTCCCTGGAGGCTCAGACGGCAAAGAATCTACCTGCTAATGCAGGAGACCTGGGTTCAATCCCTGGGTTGGGAAGATCCCCTGGAGAAAGGGATGGAAACCCACTCCAGTATTCGTGCCTGGAGAATCCCATGAACAGAGGAGCCTGGCAGGTTACAGTCCGTGGGGTCTCAAAGAGTCGGACACGACTGAGTGACTAACACTTTCACTTTTACTTCAATCCTCACGCAGGTTTCTAAGAAATCCTATGATACACAGAGTTACTTTTCCTGGGGAAACTCAAAGCAATCCCATTTCAAAAATTAAATGAGCTTTAAAAAAGGTTTGGAATAAGAGTATCTCAGTGCTAATTCTTAATAATTCCCATTGCATTTTAAACAACAGTACCTCTCCTCTGTAGGTTAATTTAAGCCAGGTACTCTCCCACTTTTCCTCCCAAAAGCTGAATATATTTCTATGAAGCTTTTTCCTACTCAGACTTTGAGAGCCTCTTCTGACTCCTCCCCCTCAAATCCCCAGGCTCTGGGGAAGAGGAGGAGGTGGGCCTCAGTCAGTTCAGTTCAGTTCAGTTGCTCAGTCGTGTCCGATTCTTTGCGACCCCATGAATTGCAGCACGCCAGGCCTCCCTGTCCATCACCAACTCCTGGAGTTTACTCAGACTCATGCCCATCGAGTCGGTGATGCCATCCAGCCATCTCATCCTCTGTCGTCCCCTTCTCCTCCTGCCCCCAATCCCTCCCAGCATCAGGGTCTTTTCCAACGAGTCAACTCTGCATGAGGTGGCTAAAGTACTGGAGTTTCAGCTTCAGCATCAGTCCTTCCAATGAACACCCACGACTGATCTCCTTTAGGATGGACTGGTTGGATCTCCTTGCAGTCCAAGGGACTCTCAAGAGTCTTCTCCAACACCATAGTTCAAAAGCATCAATTTTTCGTCACTCAGCTTTCTTCACAGTCCAACTTTCACATCCATACATGACCACTGGAAAAACCATAGCCTTGACCAGACGGACCTTTGTTGGCAAAGTAATGTCTCTGCTTTTTAACATGCTATCTAGGTTGGTCATAACTTTCCTTCCAAGGAGTAAGCGTCTTTTAATTTCACGGCTGCAGTCACCATCTGCAGTGATTTTGAAGCCCCAAAAAATGAAGTCTGACACTGTTTCCACTGTCTCCCCAGTGACACTGTCTCCACTTCCCATGAAGTGATGGGACCAGATGCCATGATCTTAGTTTTCTGAATGTTAAGCTTTAAGCCAACTTCTTCACTCTCCTCTTTCACTTTCATCAAGAGGCTTAGCCAACCCCAAGTCCAAGGGTGTTTATAGCTGCCCTGGGCTTTCTTTCAAATCACCCTGCTCAAGAGAGCTGGCAACAACATGCATTCACCACCAGCCCCTACTCACTAGATCTCATTGAGAAAAGGCAAGAAGAGAGTCCTCCCACCTAGAAAAGTGGCCCTTACAGCAATAATGGACCACTGACCACAGAAACAGGGAACAAGTTATCAGCATGAAGGACATCACCCTTCATGCAAGGATGCAGGTGACCATCACATGAAGGGCCTTAACCCATGCTGTTCCCTGGGCAACAGGGGCCAGGGCTCTCCTCTACGGAAGAGCCAAAATAACCCTTCCCACAGATGCTGTATTTATTAGAAAGGACAACAGGTATTTAATGGATGAACAAGTCACAGAGCTACTGTGCGTATGTGCTCAATTCTACCCAGCAGGCTCTCTTTTCATCCTCAGGAAGCACTACTAAAAGGCACAAAATAGAACTCAAGACAGACTAAAATTAAGATGAGAAAAACCTTGGGTTTTTTTTTGGGGGGGGGGGGGTGATAAATAGTTTTGTTTATTTTGGAATATATGAAGTATAATCTTCATGAATGATGGTCATTTAACAAGAATATTTAGCAGCCATCTCAGAACACAAATTTTCAAGCACGAAACTACAGCTTTTTATCCAATGGTAATTTTTTTAAGAATGCCATCAAGAATACCTAGTCCAGGCAGTTAATAACAGTTATCTCAAGGGAATGAGACTATTTTGTTGGTTACAACCGCCACATATTATTAATGTTTTTAAAGTGAAAACAACTAAGTCAAAAATTATAGGACCACACAAGCAAACACCTGTTAAACCTCTAAGAGGGGGAGAGGGGAAAAAAGGGAGGAAACACAGCACCATTTTCTATGCATTTCCAAACTTGTTCAAGTCTGTGTTTTAACAATAGTGATGAGTAGAAATGAGTTTCCCAGGATGCCATTAAAAGTTCTACAGAGCAGGATAGAAATAATTGAACTTTCTTTCCCCCAAATTTTACAAATGTATTCTTCCTTCCTGTAAATTCTTAGGTGAAGTATAGAAGGGAGGTCTACATTTTATTTTCATTGACAAACAGGGATATTGAAACTTTAATCATTTTTCTTCCCTTGCCCCAGAAACTTCCAGCAACTCCACACAACAGAGACTGCTACAAATTTAGTATAACTCATGTGAAAGGATTTGCTGATAGTTTTTGATATGAACAACAGCTGCAGAAGCAAGCTGTAATCTTTAAGCCGTCGCCTGCCGCTTGATTTTACATTTTGCAATTTAAGTCAAATGCCACTTGACAACTGAAGCTGCATAAAGATATTATGGAAAAGCTCAAAGTATTTTTCTATCCGTTTCAGGGAGAGGGTAATAAATAAAACCACTGACAGGTTCATGAATTTAAATACACAGAACTCAAGGCTTCTGAGAAGAAATGGGTTTTTATTTTTTTAATTTGGAAAATGAAGCAAGATTTTGCCTAAAGAATTATCACACAGAACACTTGCTCTAGACAGACCATGGAAGTTTAACACAGTTAAATGTGACTTAGCTAATGTGGCAAATTAAATTATGTCAATCCAAGTTTGCTGTGCTTGATTTCTAATGTTTTTGGATAAAATGAGATCAACTCTTGGAGAAGAGCCAGGTATGAAATGTCAATCTACTCTTGTAAATTGAGGTCTATTCCTTTAATCTCACAATCTAACAAGACGACCGTAAAATGACTGAGGAGGGGACCTCTGGGATTTCACTCTTTACTAGGGCTGAAGTTAACAGTACACCACAAAAGTGTTGAGTCTTTCTGCTACCTGAGTAGACTCAAGGAAATCAAAATATTACAGCATCTACGGTACTTAGAGCAGGACCTGACTTTAATAAAATCATCATTCACACTAGAAAATATGACCAAACCAAACCTCTTGGAACTCACTATCACTGTTTTTTTTTTTTTTTGAGGTAAGCATATATTGTCAAAGATAGCTCAACCCAGATTTCTTCAGAGACACTTTTGGAAGGTTCGTGTTCATGCTAAGTCACTTCAGACGTGTCCAACTCTTAGTGGCGCTATGGACTCTAGCCCATAGGCTCCTCTGTCCATGGGATTCTCCAGGCAAGAATACAGGAGTGGGTTGCCATTTCCTACTCCACGGGATCTTCTGGACCCAGGGATTGAACCCGCATCTCTTACATCTCCTGCATTGGCAGGTGGGTTCTTCACCACTGCGCCACCTGGGAAGCCCTCTGGAAGGGTTAGGAACGACTGATTCCTACTAACCATAAACCTGGGACTCACCAAACTAGCTGACAGAGGGATTCACCTTGGTCCAAATCCTCGGCAAGTGTGCTGTTTGTTCTAAATGATATCAAGTAGAATCTGGTCACTCGATGTTCGAGTGTGAGCATGTGGAACATAGCTCCAGATGTCAAAAACAAATGATGACAGATGGAACTCAATCTCCTCCAGACTGGGTCAAGGCTCAAGAATCCTTCCCCATCAGAGAACCAGAATGTTGAAGGCTTGTCCACAGAACCACACCCAGGCACCCTTCTCGCCAGATCCTCAGCTCTCAGAAAGGCTTCAACCATACCTCATCATGAACCCTGCAAACCCTGCCATCGTTAACCTGTGCTATGCTCATTCTTTGTCTGAAACAAATTCTTGAGGTTCAAGTTTTAAACCCATCTCACCCACGGAGCCTCCCTTGGTCTTCCTTTTTTTTTTAATTAATTAATTTTTTTATTGAATGATAATTGTTTACAGAATTTTGCTGTTTTCTGTCAAACCTCAACATGAATCAGCCGTAAGTATACATATATCCTCTCCCTTTTGAACCTCCCTCCCCATCCCACCCCTCTAGGTTGATACAGAGCCCCTGTTTGTGTTTCCTAAGCCATACAGCAAATTCCCACTGGCTGTCTATTTTACATACGGTAATGTGAGTTTCCATGTTATTCTTTCTATACATCTCACCCTCTCCTCCCCTCTCCCCGTGTCCATAAGTCTATTCTCTATGCCTGTTTCTCCACTGTTGCCCTGTAAATAAATTCTTCAGAACCATTTTTCCTAGATGCCATATATAAAAAATATGGAACGCATCACGAATTTGCGTGTCATCATTGCACGGGGGCCATGCTAATCTTCTCTGTATTGTTCTAATTTTAGTGTATGTGCTGCTGAAGCGAGCACTCCCTTGGTCTTTCTGATGCACATCTTTCCTTCTGGGTAGTGACTATCACATGTCAAGCTCACACGCTCAGACTCTCAGGCTAGGTGTGGCCCAGGCTAGGTAACCTGGTATCTCTGTGCCTCAGTTTCATCTTTAAAAGGGGATAATGTCGATCTCAAAGGGGATGTAAGACTTACAGAAAGGACTTAGCCATCATATGCCAACTGCCATGTGCACATTCACTGAGTAACTACTATGAACACCAGCCATGCTCAGCACCTACACTGCATGACTGGTACTTTCTCATCTATCTCATTCCTGAGTTGGTCTAATAATTCACTCAGGCCCCAAGTTGGGAATCTAAGCTCCCCAGTCTACAGGGGAGCATCTGGCAACTACGGAGCTGCAGGTCATCAAGAAACCACGCACCTGACTCTTCTGTGAGCATCACTGGGGCCGGGGCCGAGCTCCCCCAGCACCCCTGACAACTAGACTCATCTTCCTGCCAGTGGGCAAGTCCACGTTCATGGGTTTCAGAAATTAAACTTGCAAGAGACTACAGAAGTGGTTTCAAGGTATCAAATGACTCCAAAATGTGGGGGGGGGGTCTGAATTCCAGCTCAGATGGTTCACAACGAAAGCTGCTCCCAGCATGATGACTTTAAAACGGAATATGCATTCGGAGTTTGTTCTCACTTATGCTGCCTCCATTAAAAGAAAATTATAGACTCTGAAAACCTCACATCTACTTTCTTACTACGTAATAGATGCTCCATCCAGCCATAATAGGAAATGACAACGAAATGATTCACAAAGGCTACAGCTGAAATTTCACTTTAGAATAGCTGATGCTAAATTTTTAGGCTAAAAAAGAGAATTGTCAGTTCCCGGAAACACAGCTCACTAGTGTGTTTCAAGCACGGCACTGCAGAGTCCTGGCATTGTGCCAGTTCCAAAGGACCTCAAAGTCACATGCAGGATGACTGTGTCTACCTAATATTCATAAGCTCATACAAGACAAATATCCTGGAATTTAATTTGACTACATGTATTTATCTTCATATAAACTAAAAGGTATGCTTTAAATAAGTTTTCAAACTCTGATAGATAGATGGGTGGACAGGTGGTAGATAAATGACAAGAGATGGACAGAGCAAATACTAAAGACAGCCAATAGCACCAAACACCAAATGTCACCTCTAAAGGGAAACACTGCCAGTTAAAACCATAAGAGTTAACAGTCATAAGACATTCCAACTTTGGAGGCGGTGAAATACGAAAACAATGTGTGTCTTAGAATGCATGAAATAAAGTACCTTCTCCAGGGTTTTCAAAGTCAAATTTTGGAGAAGCGTGCTCATGAAAGCTGTGTGAATCTGTTTAAAATGCTTCCTGCAGCAGGACTCATGGCCCTAAGACCCGGCACTAACTGGCTTGGTCATTAAGTAGCGTGAGACCTTGTAGACTCTGATGTCTCCGGCTTCCAGGGCTGTAAGACCGCTGATGTGTGAAGACCAAAGGCAGGGTAGAGAAAGGACCCCCAGCACAGCACTTGGCTCTCAGGACTCGTCTCCTTACTCCAGCTAGAAGGAGAACTGCGAGACACTTGATCTGCTTCCCAAGTACCTTCTGGGTACCCTAACATACACATAGGATGCACTCAAATGTACAAAATATCCAGTCCATATTGTGGGAAACAGATGGATAACAGCTCATATCACAGGATGTTTGAGGAACATGGGACTAGAACAGAGGCTGACAATTGTCCTTGACCTATAGCATGACCTCAGGCTGCTCACAGCCGTTGCCTATGGTCGGATGTGGACAAGTCTAACATTAAGTCTAGACATCTGCACTGCATCCTCTACAGGCTCAACTGATGCCCTAATTCAGTGATACATACACAGTGGAATACTACTCAGCCATAAACAAGAAATAAAGCCATCTTCAGCAACACTCATCAAGTCATTTGGACTCAAATTCCCTGTCTTCAATTTTCATTTCTGCAATACTCAGCAACCAAAGAGGTTGTCAACTCATACAGGGAAGGGAAAGATGCAAGCCTCTTAGGAAAACATATCAATTGGTAAAAATCATTAAAATGGCTATAACTATATAAAATAGTAATGCATATTTAAACTTAATGAAAATGTTTAGTCTCTGAGACTAAGTTTTTGTGAAAAAATAAGAATATCAAGAATAATAAGAATATCAAAAATAATAAGAAAATCAAGCTGTCATCAACTCTTGAATTCCCTAGGTTTTATGAATGTATACTCAGTTGCTCAGTTGTGTCTGATTCTTTGACTCCATGGACTGTAGCCTACCAGGCTCCTCTGTCCATGGGGTTTTCCAGGCAAGAATACTAGAGTGGGTTGCCATTTCCTACTCCAGGGGATCTTCCCAACCCAGGGATCGAACTGGCCTCTCCTGTGTCTTCTGCATTGCAGGTAGATTTTTTGCCGCTGAGTCACTGAGGAAGCCCTATAAGTGTGTCTAAATACTTTTCAGGAAGGTGTCATAGTTTTACTATTTATAACAGGCAGATAATGCTCATAAAGAGCATGTTAATTTGGTTTCAGTAAACTTTTCTCGACCTTGTGAATGAAGAATTCTATAAAACACCATCTGTCAGTGTGTCTGAGGAGCCCATGGACACTTCTACAAGCGTTTAAAAACACAAGACAAAAATCAGCATCAGGCAATTATTTTTTAAATGAATTACCTATATTAATAGCAGTTTCTTGTTTGTCACCTGTCAACACCCATATTTTAATCTCAGCCTTCAACAGAGTTGCTATGGTTTCCGGCACGCCTGCCTGAAGTCGATCTTCTATGGCGGTGGCTCCAAGTAGCAGTAGATTCTGGATTGAAAAACAGCTTCAATTAAAGATGGGGAAACACGTGAGAGTGGCGTGAATGACGAAACTCCTCACAAATGAAAGGCGGTCAAAATGTTCTGAAGTAATTACCTTATTTCCTCTACGTGAAACCTTTGTTTGCAGATAATTAATGATAGATGCGTGTGGCATTTCAAAACCATCCACAAGGCTAGAGCCCCCCACTCCCCACACACACACACAGGCCAGCACTCATCATCTACTTCCAGGTACCCGGGCATCCTGAGATACAGACCGTCTAGCAGCAGAGTACTTGGGCAGGTCACCTTGGGGACCCCCACAGGACTGAGCCCTCCCTCTCACTTCACTGACAAGCCAAGGACAGTGGTCCAGCTAATGGCTGAGAAGAAATGACTCAGTGACCAGCAAGCCAACGATGTCCTGAGTGCCCACCGCTAGCATGGGGCCACATGGGTACTGCATCTATTTAATTGCTTCATGACTCACAAAGTAAATATTGGAATCTTCAGGGAATCAGGGTAAATGGACATGCTAATTCAGCTCCATCTGCACCCAAATTTCGTTAAAATGACAAACAAGGGGGAAAAAAGCAAAGGTGAATTAAAATAAATAAGTAAATAAAGGAATGAGAAAAGCAAGCAGGCAATGACTTTGAAGCTACTGAAACTGGAAAACGGACAGACCAACAGTTGTTGACATGAAACAAAAGGTTGAAATCCGGCTCCCAGATTTCAGGGGATCAGCCTGTAGAAAGCTGATTCACATCTTGGGAGAATGAAATAACAAAATCCACACCAGCGACACAGAGCAGCAAAGGCAGAGCTCAAACCGTGTTGGGATAGTAAGTGTGAGAACAGTAGGTATGATGTCCAACCAGCCTAGGCATTCTATTGGCCCAGGAAACTCAATAGGGTCAACCAATCTCATTAAGCCTCATCTCAGGCCAGCCCAGAAAGCCATCGATGCTGTTTTGACCCAGATACTTAAGACACGAATGTTTGGCAGAGGGTGGCTAGACCTTTCCAGTAGCCCATAAAAACTGATGGTTTCTTAAAGAAGAGAAACGATTAAAAACTAATGATGACTTTTTTACTTGGTTTTTAGTTTTTCCAAAGTGTATCTTTCTTCACTGATGTACCTCATTGATTTAATGAACTCGTTTTACGAAAAGTTTCAAATAATCAGGTAACTGTTATGTAAGGATAATATGTCATAAAGTAAGTTATCAGGCTGCCAATTTTTGTGTTCCATAAACTGCAATTTCCTAGTGAGAAAAACAAAAAGAGCTAATGGTGAGTTAAGACACTCATAAGACAGAGAACATCACTGTGCAGATATAGCAAAAGGAGTCCTGCTCACAGACTGTCTGCCCGCTGGGTGTCACTGGGCAATAACAACCCTGCCACGTGCAGGTACCTTCTCGATGATCTCGTAGCATTCCTCCAGCCGCTGAGCGCGATCCTTCAGGATGGTGCTGGCTTCCTGGTAGACTTGGAGCCACTCCTCGTAATCCCGCTCACTGAGGTCGGCGTAAGCCACGCACAGAGTCCGCAAGCCTGCAAGACAGCCCCAGCGTCTCTCGGTGAGGCCGCTGGCAACGGGCCAACAGGGGGCTTACCCCCGGGGGACACCGTGCGACCCCACCGGCGCGTGCAAAAGTGAGACAGACCATTGGCTCTGTAGGGTCACTCTGACTCCACGTTCACACACTCAAAAGGAGAATTTAAAAGCAATTCTATTTTAATATAAACCAGCTCTTCTACAGATGCTGACAGTAGAGAAGAAGCCATAAGAGTGAGCCCCCAGCCGCAGAGCAGGACAAGAGCTGGGTACGACCCACACCCAGGAGCCAGGGCTGGAGAGCAGGAGCGCCTATCAGACAGCAACAGAGGCCCAGCACACTACCACACGAAAGACACGGGCTTCAATCAGCCAGGCTGTGCGTGTACGTGGGCATGTGTCCCTGTGTGGGAGTGTGCTCCCAGGTGTGCGTTTGTGTTCTCATGTGTGCATGTGTGTACGTGTGCATGTGTCCCTCTGTGGGACTGTGTTCCCACATGTGTGTGTGTTCCCTTGTGTGCATGTGTCCCTGTGTGGGAGTGTGCTCCCATGTGTGCATGTGTGTCTCCATGTGTGCATGTGTCCCTATGTGGGAGTGTGTTCCCATGTGTGCATGTGTGTGCGTGGGCATGTGTCCCTGTGTGGGACTGTGTTCCCACATGTGTGTGTGTTCCCAGGTGTGCATGTGTGTTCCCAGGTGTGCATGTGTGTGCATATGCATGTGTCCCTGTGTGGGACTGTGTTCCCACATGTGTGTGTGTGTTCCCATGTGTGCATGTGTCCCTGTGTGAGAGTGTGCTCCCACGTGTGCATGTGTGTTCCCATGTGTGTTCCTCTATGTCCCCGTGTGTGTATGTGTCCCTGTGTGCATGTGTGTTCCCATGTGTTCATGTGTCCCTGTGTGAGAGTGCGCTCCCACGTGTGCATGTGTGTTCCCATGTGTGTTCCTCTATGTCCCCGTGTGTATGTGTCTCTGTGTGCGTGTGTGTTCCTCTATGTCCCCGTGTGTATGTGTCCCTGTGTGTGTGTGTGTTCCCATGTGTTCATGTGTCCCTGTGTGAGAGTGTGCTCCATGTGTTCATGTGTGTTTCCATGTGTGCATGTGTGTTCCCATGTGTGCATGTGTCCCTGTGTGGGACTGTGTTCCCGTCTGTGCGTGTGTGTTTCCGTGTGTGCTCCCCTACATCCCCGTGTGTGCATGTGTGTGCACAGACGTGGGTACACATGCCCACGGGAGCCCAGGGAGATGAGGAAGCAGAGGCCGGCACTCATGCAGGGGCCCGGCCCTCATCGAACGCATGTGCAGGGGAGCCGGACATCAGTCTGTCTAAGCCCTGCAGAGAACTCCTTTCCTGTTCTCTGTGGGTTCAGTGGGTTATTCTCACGGGAAGTCAAGGGTAAGCCAGTGTCATAAGGAAAACAACAACAAGGGGAGTTTTCCCAGAAAGGGACTATGAACTAGAAGACGATTCTGTGCAGCATCAGGTGTGAACCTGCCTCACCCGCGTCCCCCGGGTTAAGAGTTGGGGGGTTCCCGTGTAGGTCACAGAGCACAGCTGGCCTGGGGCCTCAACTCTTGTTACTGCCGGGGCACAGAACACCAGAGGTAGGGCCGGGGTTGGCACGAAACCACCATCCGCCTGTGAAGCAAGCCAAGCGCCGCCCAGAGGTGACACGTGAATGCGAAGGCTCACCGGAGTGGCCCCTGAAAGCACGGCTCTGCCGGCAGAAATAACATTTCCAACTCCACTCACCTTCCGTGGCAAAGTACTCCAGGTGGCAGAGAGTCTCCTCCATGTATTTTGAATCTTTTGAAAGTCTCTCAAAAATCACGTTATCCTATAAAACAGGGAAACGCTATAATTGGCAAACCCTTAGGCCAGCTGACCCTTCAGCACCACAAGCCCAGCTCCGACTTCCTGGTTTCGACCCAGTACACGCCTGAGTGGGGAAGGGGAAGGACAGCTCTGGGCTGGATGCAGTCATGAGCTATGGAAAGCAAATCGGCTGTGAGTCCACAAATCGGGGAGGAGCCCGGGTGTCAGGAGGATACATAATCAGGGACACAAAGGGGCCCACGTTCACCCAGGTTTGTGAAGCTCACAGTGGAGTTTATAATACCCTTTGCAGAAGTGGCAAGCATAAACACACATCCTACACTGTTCAAGTGTAGGGTCTCTTCCTAGCACTGCCGGACTCCCACCTGGGGGCAGGCACAACCTGCCCGGCACAGAATCCAATTCAGCTGAGAACACACGGTATAGACAGTTCATCACCCAGGGATTATTCACAACCTACAAAAGTAGGGCTGGAGGATTGCAGGCTACAGATCATGCAGCAAATATGTTACAAATGGCACAGTGTTAGGCTTCCCCCAAAGTTTTTAAGAAATCTAGTTTGGTTTGGGGGGAGGCAAGTTGGAAAAAAATTAAGTCCTATAATACTTTGGGCACCGGGGCAAAGAGTCAACTCATTGGAAAAGATCCTGATGCCAGGAAAGACTGAGGGCAAGAGCAGAAGGGAACACAGAGGATGAGACGGTTGGGTGGCATCCCTGACTCAAGTGATCACCGACAAACTCACTTGAGCTTGGGCAGACTCTGGGAGATGGTGAAGAACAGGGAAGCCTGGTACACTGCAAACCTAACATAATCTGGACCTCAATGAATTCACATAGGATGTCTTTAGAATTCACACACAGTGCCCACTTTTAAAAACTCTGGTCATAGTGTCCTCAAATACTTCTTCCCACAATTGGTAAAGATCAGTAAGATTTCCAACGCATTGTTGATCCTAGTTTTATTTCATATTTCCTGACACAGACTCAAGAACTGAGCTTAATAAAGCTTTCCTTCAATACATAAGACCACAGCGTTACAGAATGTAGTTTTGTGAGTCAGGCTCATAAACAACAGCATCTTTCCCTAGAGATTTAGATTCAATGACCAGGAGGCAGAGAGGACAAAAAGCCTGATGTAGGAAGTAACCAGAGGGGACCAGACGTGATGATGGACCACAGATGGACACCACCTCAAGCCTGCCACACAGCCTCTGTGGTGAATAAAAACCACAAATACTGAGAGCAACTACTAAAGGAAAAAGACACACCAGAGTCCTTAAAAGATTAAGTCGCTTCAGTCGTGTCTGGCTCTGTGCGAGCCCATCGACTGTTGCCCACCCCCCGCCCCAGGCCCCTCTGCCCATGGGATTCTCTGGGCGAGAATGCTGAAGTGGGTTGCCATGCCCTCCTCCAGGGAAGCTCCCTGACCCAGGGTCTGAGCCCACATCTCTTCCGTCTCCTGCATTGGCAGGGGACTTCTTTACCACCTGGGAAACCCTAAAGGATCATAGGTCAACACAAACGATTGCATCTGTCACAGCCACAACGCAAGGGTGGAAACGGGCAATCAGAATTCACACGCCAAGGATTCTGGAGGACGCAGCCAGCTACTGCTTCTGAAACCAACCACTGACTGTCCTGGCCACGCTGGCCTGAGCCCCCATCACGGCCAGGGGGCTTTTACCTCTCATTGAGCTTCGGGAGCCTCTCAACCTGGGTGACCACGAGGGGTGCTGAGAACGGCAGGTAAGGGAGAAGCAGGGGTCCCCCACCGTGCAGACACCAGCCAGTACTTACAGCCCCTTTACAGTAGAGTCGAAGCTGTCCTGAAGGAGTTCGCACTATCACAGACATTCTCTTTCTGTCGCTATAACAGTAAAGACACAAAGGAAAAAAAAAACTGTCATTGCTGTTTTACAGGATCACATCCTGTGATTAAAAAAGGTGGTCTGGCTGCCCCAATCTCCATTTTCCCTACCTTCCTACTCCAAGTCGAAATTGGTGTGCCTCCTACTCTCTTATTTATATATAAGGGACATAAATCTATTCTCTTCCCTACCAAGGAGACTCACTAGCACAGCTCTTGATGGCAGGAGAGACAGAAATGGAGACCTTGAGTGCCTCCTCTGTGCATCCAATTTTCTTCTGATGATACTCTGTCCATGTACTCTCATTGCACAGCTCAAAAATATCCAGCCACATGCCAAATAACAAAGGGGAAGATTGAATGCAAACCCACTTCACTCAAAAGCATCTCATCCTGCCTTCTTTTGACTGGAGTGGAAAGAGATGATGGATTCTGAGAACATCGTGATTTAGCACTGAGGTCCCTCCATGGCTCCTCCCCCCACCCCCCCACCCCCCGCCCCAGCATGTGCCTCCTTGCACATCTTCCATCAGGACCCGCCCTCTCCCTCTGATTCTTCTTCTTGCTGATCAGTATACAGAGAGAGAGTTTAAGAAAAGAGAGACATACCTGGAGAATTCCAGGACATTCAGGATTCCAAATGTCTGTTCCTGTCCCATCTAGAGGGGAAAAAAAAAAGCTCTTACCTGAAGTGCGAAGCATCTACATCTCAAAACAACCGACTCCCCACTCACAAACCTCTCTACACACACCTGCCCCCCTCCTCTCCCCTCCTCCATCCTCATCCTCTCCATCTATTCCTGGTCAGACGCCTTCCAACCTGTACGGGTCCCCGCAGTTAGTCTGGTAGGGTCACAGCGCCCCCTTCTGGTGGAAGCTTCTCATTTCCTCCACCAGGAGTGACCGTCCCACTAGCTAGTGACACAGTCACTTCCAAGACATACAAATAAAGGACAAGAGCTACACAGGTCCATCCCAAACCTGGGGCCAGTTAGGCTCACGAATCCAGAATTTTTCACATTTCGTAGAAGTATATACACACAACTACATCCCACTACATTCCCGGGGGGCTAGGACTGCACTCTGTTATACAACACATGGGTTTTCTGCAGTGTTAGTCGCTCAGTCACGTCCAACTCTTTGTGATCCCGTGGACTGTAGCCTGTGCAGCAAGACATGTGGCTAGGTGAGAGTCACACAGAACAGACGCAGCCCCGTGGCAGTCCCATTAGGTTTTGCTACCAAATGTCCACACTCCAAATTCAGGGGAATTCTGAAAACAACTTGGAATATGATATTTTGTAAGTTTTGCATGTAAGTAAAAGAATGGACTGCCGCTAGGTCAGGAACAACACGGACTTATTACACCAGATGGACGTGAACTTCACACACATCCATGAGATCCAAGGATGCAGAAAGCTAAGAGCTGTAAAACGCCATGAGTCCTCCCCAAACGGAGGGTGGGGATCGTTAGAGGACTTGCCCACAGACCCTCACCCACCACGACAGTGAGCATGGCCCCTCTCGGCTCATTACAGAAAACACCCGTCCCACCCACCTGTGTCCCTACGCCACCCCAAGATCCCTATCCGACCTCACTCCTGATTTAAACCTTTTCTTATCCCCAAATTTTCCCTCTAGCTCCTTGAGAGGGACACTCAGAAAAAAATCAAACTCCTTGATCTCAAGGGGGGAAAAATACCCATATCAAAAAAGAAAAAAAAATTTAAGTGACAACACCATCCTCTGCCAGCCCCAGAGACCAGAGTCAGAGACCAAGGGCTTCAGAAAGACAGACACAGACCCACCCCTGAGGTTGGGGTTGGGGCGGGGGATGGATAGGGAATTATTCCCAACAACCACAGACCCGGTATCAGGCTTCCCACGTTCTCTCCTGCACGTTATTCCACATCAGCAGGTGGAAGACCATGGGTAGTGCCTTTGAGAGAGAAAGATGATAGAAATGCAAAAACACAACCCTGAGTCAACAACATAAAAACACACCACACTGAGCCAGCAGAACCACACAACCTGTCAATTCTCAAAGCACCTAGTTTCTCAGACAACCAGCTCTCCTAATTACAACAGATGTATTATATCTAACAGACAGCCTTCCAGAAAGCAGGTGACCAGGAGCATCCGGCGGTGCCCGGGGCTGTCACTTACGGCCTCGATGATGACAGAGTAGGGCGTTCTGGCTGTGAAGACAAAGCCCAGCTTCCGGGCCCCTTTAACTAAAGCGGCTTCGTCTGTCAATAAGAACAGAGGAGGCATTGACTCATCTCTGGGAGGGATAGCATTCTGTTCAGCAAGTGTTATTTTTCACATGAAAAAGACCCACACCAGCGGCAGACACCTGGTCTTCCGTGCAGTAAAGACTGAGGACCTAGAAAGTGCCCACTCGCTCCTCACCCCCTACTAGGGCCCTGAAAGGAGCACCTCCCTCAGAGGAGAAGCCGTGGGCCTAGAACTAGTCCCCCAGGACACTCTGCAGCCAGCGGGAGACCGGAGACACACGGCCGGGCTTGGCGGGGCCGGCAACAGCACTGCAAACGCCCAGGGGTAGGGGAAGGGGGCAACGAGCACCCTGGCCGCGGGGTCTCACCTGGGGAGGAGGCCTGGTAGACAATGCTGTCCCCATCCCTCTCGGGGACCACGGTGTGGCACACGGCCAGCAGGGTCAGGAACTCCTGGATGCAGGGTGCTGTGGGCTGCAAACGGAGCCGAGGTCAGTGGCTGTCAGGACGCCCCTGACCTATTTCAGGGTAGGGACCTCCTGCTTAGAATCCAGGGGTCCCCTCCTGCTCCCCCCAGAATAGAGGTCAGGAGCCCCGGTGTGGACTCCAGGCACCCTTCCATTCACACCTGCTCATCATCCGGCCCATCTCCTGCGGCTCACAACCCCCTACTGCTGGTACCTAGCAAGGTGTTTGGTGTGAACTAAGCCCTTAAACTGTTTGTAAACGAATGAGTCTTATTGCCAGTTTGTTGTTTGACAGTTTAAATCCTTTGCTGCTGTCACCTGTACTTCCTTCTTACCCTTCACCATCCCAATGTGAACAGACCATTGCAGCCATCCATCTGCGTTATCACTCTCAACCTAACACACTTTGAGGACGCTTGAGTCCTTTCTCAGAAAGCAAGTCCTCACAGGTGCTCGTTTCTTTAACATCCTTAATTAACACTCCCCTCCTCCACAGAAGGTTCTTCTGAGATGCCACTCTTCTGCTTAGAGGACCTCTAGCCAAGTAGCTCCATCTACCTCTGAGACCAAAATCCAGGAAAGGACAGTATCAACGTCTGTGATCCTGACACAGAGCACGGCCTTCAGCAGCATCCTCTGTGCAGCCTGGACCACCTGGTCAGCATCTCTGGGGCTGAAGCAGGACGGCTGCATCCCAACCCGGGAGCACGGGTGCCTTCCATGCTCACATCTCAGAACACTGCTGGGAAAGTTCTAGCATCAACAAATAGGCACTAACTGAAATATAGTATAGCAGACTTCTTCACTGAAAATTCAGTGAATGTTTTAAGTATATCTATCTCTTCACAAAATTTGGGAAAGATGAAGTTTTAATGTTGCTCGCATTTACCTAATTTTAAAACTGAATTTTTTTTTTAGAAAAGTCATATTAGGTTTAATTTATACTGGTTAAACTGGTTGTGAAATGCTCTGATCACTGAAAAAGTTAGTATTTTTCAGAATAACCTTTAGAACAAAAATGCATTTATATGGACCTGCAGTAAATCCTGGTTTCCTACAATAGTTCAGAATGTGACATCACAGTTAAGAATCCAACAGATTAAGATTCTGACTTTCATTTCTCCATCTGTTTGCTGGGTAACTTTTGGCCAAGTCAAGTTTTCTATGCAATTCCCCATCATCTCTCTGAGGTGACTCAGGTGCTAAAGGAAATATACTTCAAATGTCTAGCACATAAGTAGGATGCTATAAATCCTGCATATTATATCTTGTTTCCTAAATTATCCTAACCAAAAGATACTGTAATTACTTTTCAAAATACATGACCTCTTAGATTCATAACTATGAAGAAACAGTCTTGCAGAAATCTTACAAAACAACAGAAATCTGAAATGTTAGCAAATTCTACAATCAGACTCATCTTGATGTGCTTACTTTATAACTTCACTACATACTTAATTGGGCTTCAAATTAAGTTATGCAAAGTGTTCTTCACAAACTGATCATTTTCCTAAAGTACTAACACCATAGAAGTGAAGCCACATCTCTTCCCCAAGTTCCAAAATAGCAACTCTCAAGATGCTACATACATACATGAATGCAAGTGCATCATAAAATGTTTAATGTCCCAGAAGTAAATGATGGCCCTTACATGATGATCCTCAATGTTCTTCAAGAGCCTGGGGTCATCAAAGTCGCAGGAATCACTAGGTGGAGGAGGAATCCGGCTGAGAAGAGAATAGGAGATACTACTCAGCTCCAAAGTTCCTTTAACTCAAATCTAGGAAAAATACATCTTCAGAAAGAACCACACATAAAAAATCTATAAATTTATATTAAACTTTTAAAGATTTGAAATATTGTGTATTATTTCAAACCTCAAGACAGTAAATCTCACACCTGACTATAAACAAAATAAGGATGGTCCCTGACTTACATTGTTTTGACTTAATAACTTTTCAGTGGTGCAAAACTGATTCAGTAGAAACTAGCTTCCAGTCTTTGAATTTTGATCTCTCCACAGGCTGGCAACACATGGCACAATCCTCTCATGATTCTGGGCAGCGAGTGTAGCCCTACCATCACGCAGGTGAACGACTAAAACACAACCATGCTGGACCCAGACAGCCACAGAACAGATGAATTAATAAACAAAATGTGGTGTATATATATGGAATATTACTCAGTCTTCCAAAGGAATGAAATTCTGATACATGCTACAACATGTATGTTACAACCTTAAAGATATTATGCTGGGAAGTGAGAAGTGAGCAGGATGTATCAGACCGATGGCTGGGTATTTTTGTTAAAAGCCCTGTAGCACGATTGGACTTTTAAAACCATACTCATGTTTCATTTTTATTCTGGTTCTCTCTTGAAATAACATGCAACTTTTATTTACAAAATAATCAGGTTAGAAATGCTAATATAAAACTGTTCCAAAGCCTTTCCCACTAAAGTATAAAGAACTGTTAAAATATACTTACGAGAAATCATCTGAGGATGGTTCCCTTGTCAGTTCTGGAAAATGACTGCCAGAGAGAGAAACAGAGTAGTTACAGAGCTGTGATCAAAAACACAGGCATTCACACAAAGTACAAGCTCTGGCATAGACCATACATTAGGCTACTAAACAAGTCTTAGTAAATTTAAGAAAACTGAACTAGCAAGCATCTTTTCCTATCACAAGATAGGAAACTGAAACTCAATTACCCCCCAAAAAATGGAAGATTCACAAATATGTGATGATTAAACAACATGTGACTGAACAACCAATGGATCAATGAAGAAATCAAACATGAAATCCAAAAATACCTAGAGACAAATGAAAATACTAAAACTTGCAGAATGCAACAAAAGCAGTTCTGAGAAGTTTATAGCAATAAATGCCTACCTCAAGAAACAAAAATCTCAAGCAACTTATACCAAAAATAACTAGAAAAGGAACAAATAAAACTCAAAGTTGGAAGGAAATCAAGATTAGAGCAAAAATAGATGAAATGGAGACTCAAAAGTCAATAGAAAAAAATTCAATGAAATTAAAAGTTGGTTCTTTGAAAAGATCAAGTTAAGAAACCTTTAGCTAGACTCACCAAGAAAGAGAGGACTCAATCAGAAATGAAAGAGAAGACATTACAACTGACACTACAGAAATAAAAGTATCACAAAAGACAACTATGAACAATTAGATGGTAACCAATTTGACAACCTAGAAGAAACAGATAAATGCCTAGTAACATATAACCTAAACAGAAAATCTGAGTGCGCCCATTACTGCTAAAGAAACTGAATTAATAATTTAAAAACTCACAACAAAAGTCTGGAACCAGAAGGCTGCACTAGTGAATTCTACCAAACATTCAAAGAAGAATTAATACCAACCATTTTAAAAAAATAGAAGAGGGAACATTTCCAAACTCATTTTACAAGGTTAGCATTTCCCTGATACCGAATGAAAAAGAACATCACAAGAAAATTACAGGCCAATATCCCTGAATAACAGACACAAAAATCCTCAATAAAGTATTAGCAAACCATATTCAACAATACATTAAAAGGGTCATACACCACGATCAAGTGGGATTTATTCTAAGGATGGAAGATCAGTTTAGTATCTGCAAATCAATATGACAACACCATCCACTTTACCAAAATGAAGAATAAAATCATATAATTGCCTCAATGAAAGAAAGTGAAAGTGAAGGTTGTTCAGTCGTGTCTGACTCTTTGCAAACCCATGGACTATACAGTCCATGGAATTCTTCAGGCCAGAATACTGGAGTGGGTACCCTTTCCCTTCTCCAGGGGATCTTCCCAATCCAAGGATCAAACTCAGGTCTCCCACATTGCAGCTGGATTCTTTACCAGCTGAGCCACAAGGGAAGCCCAGGAATACTGGAGTGGGTAGCCTATCCCTTCTCCAGTGGATCTTCCCAACTCAGGAATCAAACTGGGGTTTCCTGCATTGCAGGTAGATTCTTTACAAACTGAGCTATGAGGGAAGCCCCAATAGATTTGCCTTAATAGATGCAGAAAAAAGCATTTGATAAAATTCAAAATTCACATATAATGAAAAAAAAACTCTCAGCAAAATGGGTATAGAAGGAATGTACCCCAGTATAATAAAGTCCATATAATATATGACAAATCCAAGGCTAATACCATACTCAGCAGTGAAAAGCTGAAAGCTTTTCCTCTAAGATCAGGAATAAAACAAAGATGCCCACTCTTATTATTTTTTTTCTCAACATAGTATTAGAAGTCCTGGCCACAGCAATTAGGCAAGAAAAAGAAGTAAAAGGTATCCAAATAGAAAAGGAAGAAACAAAACTGTCACTATTTATAGAGGATATGATTTTATATATAGAAAACTCTAAAAGATTCCACCAAAAATCTGCTAGAACTAACAAATTCAGTGAAGTTGCAAGATACAAAATCAATATACAAAAGTCTGCTGCATTTCTATACATTAGTAAAGAACTATCAGAAGGAGAAATTAAGAACACAATTCCACTTATACTTGCATCACAAAGAAGAAAATACCTAGGAATACATTCAACCAAAGGAATGGAAGATCATATACTGAAAAGTGTAATACATTACTGAAACAAATTCAGCAACACAAATGAATAGAAAGATGTTCTGTGCTCATGGATTGGAAGAATTAATGTTGAAATGTCTATACTACCCAAAGAAATCCACAGACCCAATGCAATCCATATCAAAATCCCAAAGGCATTTTTCACAGAAATAAAATAATTCTAAAATTTATACAGACTCACAAAACCTTGAGAAATAAGAACATAGCCAAATACATTATGCTCCTTTTAAAAAAGGAAAGTGTTGAGATCAAAACATGAAGTAGAGATGTATACTTACTCGACTGGAAATATAAAGTTACATATTCCTTGAGATTTCTCATAGGTTAGTATTTATAGAAATAACCATGTTTTAACTGTTCTAAATTGGGACTCATTCAGTTTTAAATATCTTCAGTAGTAATTATGAAACCAAATCCCTTATAAATACCCTTTCAAAGTATCATAAAGTCAAGGTATTTGACTAAGTGGCTAAAAATAAACTTCTTTTGTTGGAAGAATACAAATAAAATTCAGTAAGTTATAAAGACACTCACCCATAGGTTACCCCAGCAATGCTACACTTTTTGAAATTCATGATATTGCATGTAAGAGTTCCTGTTTTGTCAGAAAATAGATATTTTACCTAAATCAAAGAGAAAAATATATGCCAAGAATGTAACAACATGCAAAGACACGTAAGTGAAGTCTTTTATTCTACATGTTTCAAAATCTGTATTAGTTTTCAAAGGTAAATTTCCTTAGGCAAGCAAAACATATTTTATAATTAAATATATGTTATATATGATAACTACATATTATAAAACTAATATATTTTAAAGCTTAAGACCACAATTTTGGACTCCAAGTGTGTGGAAACATACAAAAGAGATTTTAGTAATAGCCCTGAATCCATTTAATATCAGTAAGCACTAAATTTCGCCACAAGGCATCTCAATGACACTTACACAGAATTCATTCTTGTGTTTAATACATCAAGACAACAAACTCAGATTGTGGCAACCACAAAATATTTGTTTTTAAAACTCCATCCTTCGGTTGTACTAAGAAATCACGTCCTGAAATAGCACAGAACACCAAGCTTTTCAATCACCCTCATGGTAAGGTTACCTAAAGGCAGCATGGCACTGCAACAGATTAAGGTAACTTTCTAAGGCACAAAGTTCTATAGATTTAACGTGCTAGGCTCTCAATATACAAAGGTAAAAAGAGGAATTCCTATGAAAGTCAATAAGCAAACCATTTGGATATGATTAAATGAGTGCACAAGAGATGAGCCCAAATGCACGTGTGCTGTTGCGCTCTGTCTTCCGGGGTGGATGCTCCGATGGGGGAAAGGGCAAAGAACTCAGGACCACAGAGAAGGGAGTCCAGGTCAGCCTCTGCATCGTGCACGTTGGAAAAGTCACTTCAGCCTTCTGGGACTCAACATCCACGTCCATAAGGGTTTGGCCAGAAGATAAGCAACATTACTCCATGTCTAACTTTCTGGGAAATTACATCATAGATTAGTGAGGGGGCATAATTAACAGAACTGTCTCCAGTAAAATTCCAGTTTCTCAGGGACTTTCTAAAGAGGGGTCATGACTGCGGCTGGATGTGAGATGGATTCCAGGAATTCCCAAGAACTGTGCTAGGGAAGTCACACTGCACTGTTTTTATACAAGACAGATTAATAACAAGAATTGTGTACTCTAGACTTTTCCTAACTGATAAAATATAAGCAAATACTAAGAATTATTTTTAAAGTGCCTTCAAGTAATGATTATTAATGATCCTAAAGAAGTCAAATAGTACACAGAAATATGAAAGTATTAAAGTAATGAATGTTTAACCATAAACAAGTTTTTATATAAGCTTTATCTGCAGTAAGACTAGGGGTATAAAAAGATCAGTAGAATCAGCCTTTCAAAAAGCAGTATCTCTTCCTGTTTCTTTTTTAAAAGTTAAAAGATGATATCAAAATATTTTAAAATGACAATTTTATAATAAGGAATTAAGATTTTTCTATTCTGCCTATTGGATTTTGACTTGTCTTTTCAGTTCCAACTCAGAACTACTTCCCCATGCAAACTTTCCCAATTAGGACGAACTATCTCATTGTGGGGGCTGGAGGATGTTGAATCCTTCATTTGGGTCCAGTTTAACAGCATCTTAGAACAAAGGTACGCTAACCATTATGCTAAAGTAACGAAGGCAGACAAAGACGACCAAAGACCTCGTCTCCGCACCCTTGAACAGGCTCAGAAATCCCAGGACAGAAACAGACACATATCACTGTCACTCTTTTTTACTGTATTTATGTTTGGAGAGATTGTTGCAGAAACACTGAAGAGAGGTAAATTAACTCTGCTGGAAGACTGCAGCAGAGTTCAAAGAGAAGGCTGGTCCGATACATACTGCACACTTCATGGGGTTGTTGGGAGAATCATAAAAGATAAGTAAATAAATGAAATTATAATCTGTAATTATAGTGTATTCAACAGACCTAGACTTTTCAGTGATTTCAACTCACAATGAGGACATAATGCAAAATGTAACTCAGTAAAAGGCAATATGGGTTTGGGGCTGGTGGTGGAAAAGAAACTGGGTCCCTGAAATATTACAGAGATGAAATCTGGAACATGTGAGAGATTTTATGGATTTATGTCCTTCAAATTCGCCCCCACATAAAGTCTCTTGGACACCAAGGAAATCAAACCAGTCAACCCTAAAGGAAATCAACACTGAGTATTCACTGGAAGGACTGACGATGAAATTGAAGCTCCAATACTTTGGCCACCTGATCCGATGAGCCAACTTGTTGGGAAAGACCTTGATGCTGAGAAAGATTAAGAGCAAAAGGAGAAGGGGGCAACAGAGGATGAGATGTTTAAATAGTATCACTGACTCAATGGACATGAGTTTGAACAAACTCTGGAAGATAGTGAAGGACAGGGAAGCCTAGCGTGCTGCAGTCCATGGGGTCACAAAGAGTCAGACACAACTTAGCAACTGAACAACAACCCAATATCCAAGCATCTTAACCATCATCTTCCCTTTATTTGCTCCTGATTAACAATTTTGCATACAAAGTGACCTTGCACTATATTTTTTGTACTAAATGTGTTGCAGGTGGTAAGATCTTCTAAGTGATAAGATCTATCCATGCCTCAAAAAGTAAGTCAAGATCAATTAACATTTGTATTGAATTAATACCTCCAAATACTACAGAGCTCTTCAGACATCAAAACCACCTTTATGGAGAATTATTTTTGCACAATCTCTCCACAGTTCTTCCGACACTTGTCTGCCCCCATGCTCACATCACTGTCCCAAAGTCCCGAAGAGGCTCTCACCTGGCCAAGCTCTTCATTAAGGTTTGATGTCCTGGCCATGGCAGGGGTGTCATTTCCTAGATAATACATATCTGTGTCCTGAGAGAGAGAAAAAAGTGGGAGGACTTCAGCAAATATCCACCATCCATCGTTCATTTAGATTAAGAAGAAGCTCAAAACAGGTAACTCAAATAAATGCTAATTTTTAATTTAGTGGTGAAAATACAGGGTCTGTTTATGTAGAGAAACACTGAGATACAGGGGAAAACATGGTTTATTTATATCTAGAAGATTTGGCTTCCAGATGATCATTTCCTAACCTAGACTAACTCATACTTCTGAGCTTAGCTAACACCTCATTCAAAGGGTTGTTGCGAAGCGCAAATAAAAATGCCCACACACAAAAAAATGCACATGAAAGTGTCTGGTCATCAAATACTAGCTGCTGAGGTTCAGAGCTTCACAACCATGGCGGGGTCCTTGAAAATTCCACCTGGACTCTTGCAACAGAACCCAAGTTCACTGTCACTGTGAATTTTGATATAAAGAACACTTAGGCACACACACCTAAGAGAGCTTTCCTTCTGCACTGGGGAGACTATAAAGCCTGAGCAGCTGCAGCCACTCATTCCCACGCATTGGAAGACAGGGACCTGCTTGCCTTCTTCTCCATTATCCCACTGATGCTCCCGGGAGCACCTGCCTGTTTCATGGCCCAGGACACTGAGGCACTAGGCGACTAGTTACCACCACCACTGGCTCAGGGACAACCTTGCCCAGTCTTTGAGCAGTGAAATCCCAGATCGCATCATAAATCAATGACGCTCTTCCTTTTCTGGAGGCCCAGTTGCATCACTAAGGCTCTGACAGGATATTAGGAAGTGACATGTCCCCAGCAGTTCTGCTTCCAGCCCCGTGTGATACTCACCCAGTTTATGAAGAGGGCTTGTGTGTACTTCACAACCTCGAGAGTCACCAGCAGACTGATGGGAATCAGATTGTTGTAGAGGATGATGAATGTCAACAGGTTGTATCCGAAATTGTCTGAGGTCGCGTCTGCAGAAGAAAACCACAATATGTGCATAGCTTAGTCTCTGTTTATTTAGAGATTCAAGTTGAAATAGTTACTGAGCACCTGCTCTGTGCCATGAACTGTGGATACACAAGGCTGTGATGACACAATTCCTTCCAATAAAGAGCTGGCTTCCAATAGGAGGCTTTGGGGGAAGGGGGTAAGCAGAAGTAAGCATCTGCCAAGGTGGTCACATAGCAGGAGATATCGATTAAAGAGGAGTTCACAGCCATGCAGACACCACGGCAGCAGGGGTTTAATGGGAAGGCACCGTCAGTCACTCAAAACCATCCAGAAGAACGGAGGTTTAAGACAAGTTCTGGAGATGGCGAGAAGGCAGCTAACTGAAAAGGATGCAGAAAAGAGGACAGGCGTCTGAGATGGTTGTAGGAATACCTACAACCTCACTAAGGTAGGAGTGTATTGGGGACACCCCAGAGAATTGGTCAAACTGGGGCAAGTGTGAACAGGCGAAACAGGTGCAGACAGAGAGGCGGACAGGAAGCTTTGAGCCTATTCATAGAAGACAAGAGAAAGAATGTCTCAATGGAACACGGTCCCTAAAGGAAGAATCTGAAGCAGAATCGGCTAAGGCAGGCGGAGGGACCAGGAGAGGAGGGGGAGGTACAGGGTCTCCGAGTGTCAAAGAGGAAAGTTCTCTGAAGTCAAAGCTCTGACCCTGATGGCACAAGTGTGAAGTCTGATGGCTTTCACTGGAGCTACTCAGACTCCAACCTAAGGATAACAAGGCACACAGTGCTGAAGGAACCAAAAATAAGTAAGTTACTCACTGTAAATCATGCAGCTAGGACTGGAGTTTGATGTCAGCTGAGCAATTTAAATGACAGTTTCCACAAAGTTTGTATATCAGTACAGTGTCACTGTTGTTTATGTACCTAAACCATGATATGCTGCAACTAGTACATATACAAATTCATCTGTCTTCACGTTTGAAGCTAAACATACAGCATGGTTGAAATCCATGTTTTAAGAACCAAAATCAAGGAATTTTGACCCAGCCTACAATGGAAGTCCCAGTGCCTTTTTCCATCTGTAAAGTGGCAACAAGAGTCCTTCTGGGCAGTTCAAAATGTGTGAGCTCTCTATATGAGATAACTAGGAAAGTGGAAAAAAATGTTTTCATCAGTTTAAAATATAAAGAAAGGTGGGAATAATAATTATCCCAAGAAAAAACTTCAAAGTTTAAAATTCAAATGTATTACTCAACTTAGCATTATTTATTTTGTCATTAAATTATACTTATTTTTCTGGAATTGCTGTGGAAGGAGATTAGCAAATCTTCTCTCAAAACAAGAAGCCATAAAACTGGACAAAACTATCAAAACAAGCATTCAAAGTGCTGAGAAACCAATCATAGAGCACACAAAAAAAGAAGCATGAATTCAAGAATAACTGCTCAATCTCAATGAGTGGGAGACTTTGGCATTTAAGCCAAAGTCTGTTTTTTCCTTCTCTCCCCCAGATCCATGTTGCTTAAGTTCTGCTCTGGGTTGTAGGTGGAGAGGGCCCTGAGGACTGGCAACTCTCATCCCCCTACCCCAGCCCAGTTGCATAAATTCTATCCCAGGGTGGGACAGACTGTCAGAACAGGAACAGCCTGAGGGATCCGACAGTATCTGAAGCAGAGCACAAAACTGCCATGCCCAGGGCACTGTGAAAAAACAATAGACATCCCTGATCAAGGAAGACCAATCTCTCCCAATACTAGTGGGGGCAAACAAACCAGCAGACTAGACAGAAATTAAACAGGCAGATTCACAGAAAGATGGCCAAGGAAAACTAGCTAAGATTATACCCAGCCCTGGTGGTCCAGAGGGCAGGTCCATGTGCAAGGCTCTACCTGCTCACGAGACTGGACTAGTCCTTGTGAGCCTCGAGTTCCTGATTGAATGTGGGGTCGATTTTAAACTTCCCATCAGTGAGGCCAATTCCGAAGCCACACACAGATCAAACAACTGGCCCCTCACTGGCTAAGGGAAGGTCAGGACAACCTCTGACCACCCACTGGCTGACTTCTAAGTTATGCTGACCCCCTAGAAGTCCAAGATAAAAACCTGGGATGACTTGTTGCTATCCAGTCTGCCTTACAAGAAATAACAAAGGAAATTCTCTGGGACAACAGGAAGTGACACCAGACAGCAATTCAATGCACATAAAGAAACAAGGGCAACAAAGGTAATTATATAGTACTTATAAAAGAATATAGTTACATATGTTCTATACTTTCACGTGGACTTTTTTTAAGTGGTAAAAGATTATAAAATTGCACGATGGACATATCTAGATGTAACATGGCAGTGGTGGTTTAGTTGCTCAGTCATGTCCAACTCTTTGTGGCCCCATAGACTGTAGCCTACCCGTCCCCTCTGTCCATGGGATTCTTTAATCAAGAACACTGGAGTGGCTTGCCATTTCCTTCTCCAGGGGATCTTTCCAACCCAGGGATTGAACCCATGTCTCTTGCACTGCAAGCAGTCTCCTGCAGAGCAGGCGAATTTTTTTTTACTGACTGAGCCACTAAGGAAACCCCAATGTAAAACACATGTCAGCAAAAAGAGTCAGGAAACAAGGCATGTGAAGCAAAGACACGACAAGTTGCTAACTCAGATACACAGGGAGAAATGAAAAGAACTGGGAATAAGAGTAAATAAGTACGTTAAAGTGAAACAACTCTATAAATACACTCGTTTCTTTTCTTTTTGCTTCTTTAAGAGACATAAAATTACGTAGGCAGTAAATACAACATTGTATTATGGGCTTGATAACAAAGACGGATGTGATACACGTGGTAATACCACGACAAAGTCGGGGAGAAAATGGACCTACACCGGAGTAAAGTTTCTGTATTTTATTGGAATTGAGTTAGTATTAATCTGAAGTCGATGCTGAGGATCGTAATTCCTATGCCGTAATTCCTAAAGCAACCACTAAGAAAATAACTCCAACACTGACAATCAAAAAGGAATCATCTGGGATGTTCCTGGTGGTCCGGTGGTTAAGAATCTGCCTGCCTGTGCGGGGGGACATGTGTCTGATTCCACTAGCCTCGGGGCAACTGAGTCCATGTGCTGCAACTTCAGAGCCCACGCGCCAAAAGGACTGAAGCCCGCAGGCTCTGGAGCCCGTGTGTCTTCTCCTGACAGTGAGGAGCCCGCATACCACAACTAGGGAGGAGCCCCCACTTGCCACAACTAGAGGAAGCGTGTATGCAGCAGTGAAGACCCAGTGCAGCCAAAACATAAGTAATTTTAAGAAATAATCATCTGAATAGACAACAATCCCCAGATGAGTCCACCTTCACTTTATCACGAGACTCCTGTTCTTCCGATTCTTCAAAGATGGGCTTTGTGTACAACAGCCCAAGGGTGAAGAAGAAGGAAGGATGGCACGTAGTTGGAAGGATGGACCATGTCAACAAGCAGTCCGCCCAGCACGTACCCATCTTCGTGATGTACCAGTTCTTCCCTCCTTGAGAGCCGTTCCAGTACAGGGCCCCCACCGAGCTCACCAGGGCCATGACCAGGAGGATGCCGAACAGCACCAGGATCTGCACGTTGGTTACCTTCTCCACGTTCGACCTCTTGAGAGGGGCTTTGGTGGAATTCTGCACAGGAGTATTTAAAATCAGTGAGGGTCACAGAACATACCCAGGGGCCAAGAGGAGGGGGAAAAGGAGGCAAGTTAACCAAATTCAACAAATAAAAAGACTATGTTTTCCTTGCCCGATAAGCAAAGAAATTTTAAAGGAGTACCTTTAATCAATCAACATCTAGTTTTACATAAAGAACACAGAAGACACACTCTAAAAATCGTCTCAACTTCACCCGATTCAGTCTGTATTTCTTATGACTACATTTTAACAAAAAATTAGCTACTTGTGTGATCTTAGACATGGCAGGTTCTACATCATTTACATCCAGTTTTAAAGAAATCAAGATGTTGCTAATTTAAGAGAAACAAAGATTCTACATCAGGAAAATCTAGAAGCTTCAAAAGAATAACATAGCTCTGTAATTAATACATGATGAGCTATTTTTTAAGCTCAGTAGCTCAAATTTTAACTGGGGCGGTGCGGGGGTAGGGAAGACATACACAAACACACACATCAATAATGCAAAATAGAACAGTAGGTGTCAAAAAGAAATGGATAGACAAAGAGTTCATTTGGAAAGCTGTGAACAGGAATAAAGAAGAGTCGACAAAGCTTGAGGGGACAGGAGAATTCTGAACAGAGTCCTAAGGTCCTAACCACAGACAGAATACGGGCAGGAAGCAACGACAAAAGCAGAAAGACAGCACAGCTGCCTATAAATGCTCATGGCCTAATTTCTCACTGCTGGTGGGGAAACCAGCCCAGCTACACAATAAGCGAGTGAGTCCAGAAAGCTTCATTAAGACCAGATTTGAGGACCACTGCACATCACCTTTGGAACCGCATATCCTCTGCAGTGGAAAAGTCAACACAACTGTTTGCACTGGACAGGTATTCATTCAAAGTCATTTTTTAAAAATCTCTGAAGGAAGCTGTGGGGAACAGAATAATGTTCCTCCCCAGGATGACCTGGACCATGAATATGTCACTTTACATGGCAAAGGGGCTTTTCTGGTCTGACTTAGGGAGATTAACCTGAATTCTCCAAATGGGCCCAGTTTAATTACTTAGGTCTTCAAAAGCAGAAAAGGAAGAGATCCTTTCCCACTAGTGGTCAGAGGGAGATATGACTACAGATAAATGGCCAAACAGATCAGTGTTGATGCTCCGAAGATGGATGTTATTGTTGTTTAGTCACTCAGTCATGTCTGACTCTTTATGACCCCATGGACTATAGCCCGCCAGGCTCCTCTGTCCATGGGATTTCCCAGCAAGAATACTGGAGTGGGTTGCCATTCCCTTCTCTAGGGGATCTTCCCAACCCAGGGATCAAACCTGAGGCTCCCACATTGGCAGGCAGATTCTTTGCCACTGAGCCAGCAGGGAAATCCCTAAGATAAACATGCTTAGTCACTCAGTCATGTCTGACTCTTTGCAACCCCATTGTCTGTAACCCACCAGGCTCCTCTGTCCATGGGATTCTCCAGGCAAGACTACTGGAGTGGGTTGCCATCCAAGAAATTCAGGCAGCCTCTAGGAGGCTGGGAAAGGCAAGAAAGGAGTCTCCTCTGGAACCTCCCGGAATGTTCTAAAGAGGAAGGCTGCCGGCCAACACCACGATGTGGATGAGACCCTCATCAGACCTCTGCCCTACAGAACATCATGTAAGAGCTTCATCTAGTCGTAAGCCACGGCATTTGTGCTATTTGTTGTAGAAGCGACAGGAAACCAACACAGCAATACAGCAGAGGTGACAACCCTTCCTGAAGGAGGACAGAGCAGAAGCCAGAAGAGGACAGCGGGGGCGAGGTGGCAGGAGCTCCACTCCACAGTCTCCTTCCACGAGTCCTGAGCCTTGTCCCCCTACAGGTGACACTGATTCACAAGATCAGTGATCGGAATGCTTGCAGGGCACTGACTGGCCATAAAAATGGCATCAACTCGAGTCCACTCTCTCCCTCCCTCTTCCCAATCTATCTGACCCCAACAGAGCTAGGATGAAAATGTCCCTGAAAATAAAACCACAAAGTCACAACGTGAGAACAAAATCGAGATAAAAACGAGAGGCGACTCATTCCTACATTCCGTAGAGAATCTCAGACCACAGGAGGCTGAAACTTATCTGAATTCTATCCCCAAAACCAAGACTGCTGTTACTGTGGCTTTCTGTGAGGCTGGGGAGTCTAGGAGTTGCAAAGCTGGTGATTTTGTAGTCTTATAAGAATCTAAACAGCATAGCACTGTTTCCTTCATGTATACTCTTTTCTCCATTTCACCTTCAGTTCAGTTCAGTTTTTTAGTCGTGTCTGACTCTTTGTGACCCCATGGACTGCAGCACGCCAGGCTTCCCTGTCCATCACCAACTCCCAAAGTTTGTTCAAACTCATGTGCATTGAGTTGGTGATGCCATCCAACCATTTCATCCTGTCGTCTCCTCCTCCTGCCTTCAATCTTTACCAGCATCAGGGTCTTTTCCAGTGAGTCAGTTCTTCACATCAGGTAGCCAAAGTATTGGAGTTTCAGCTTCAGCATTAGTCCTTCCAGTGAATATTCAGGACTGATTTCCTTTAGGATGGACTGATCTGATCTCCTTGCTGTCCAAGGGACTCTCAAGAGTCTTCTCCAACACCACGGTTCAAAAGCATCAATTCTTCAGCACTCAGCTTCCTTTACAGTCCAACTCTCACATCCATACATGACTAATGAAAAAACCATAGCTTTGACTAGATGGACCTTTGTTGGCAAAGGAATATCTCTGCTTCTTAATATGCTGTCTAGGTTTGTCAAAGTTTTTTTTCCAAGGAGCAAGCATCTTTTAATTCCATGGCTGCAGTCACCATCTGCAGTGATTTTGGAGCTTCACTTTAGTTTCACTTTATAGTTCACTAAATTATTCATTCTTTGAAGATTTTTTAAAAATTTCCTCTGGAATCTAAATGGAAATCCATCAGTAAAGGCCAGCTTATCAAATATCATATCAAAGTTGATAGGGTCAACACATCACCTTTGGCCTCATGGCAAGATCCAGAAGACCCATTTTAAGACTGCCTACTCCAATCTTTTAAAAGTTATTTTTAATAAACATTCATTGGAGATACAAGTATGAAAAAAATTTACAATAAACATTATTTCTATGACTCTGTAAGTTTACTAATTTCTGATCTGTCCCAGTGTTTGAATCCCGGCCAGTTAACTGGGCTAAGAGAAGTTGTATTTCATTAAACACAAGAGCAAAAACTCAAAACTTCCAGCTTCAGCCCATGCACTTAGGGGAGACAAGGTCTACCTGCTCATCCCCCTTCCCTAAGCATTTCTCCTTGTAGTGATGAACCTGTAATAATGCAAGTAGGAATCTGATATAAGTTTCTCTCCAAAATTCTCAGAAAATACTGCTACTTCTGAGTGATAGAGTTCTAAATAGAAACAGGCCAAAATGTCATATTTTGCAAAATCTTAAATCAGGCCTGAACTTTACACATTTGATTCCCTTCTAAGAAAATAGTCAGCAGGGTACTAGTCAGAACAAGGAGCCAAACTGCCTAGGTTCAAATCCTAGCTCTCTCTTACTGGGAATATAACTTTGGTAACTTACTTAGGTTCTGTGCCTCTGTCCTCATCTAGAAAATGGGAACAACAATTCGTATTTTCTTCATAGCACCGTTGTGAGGAATCAGTGAGTTCATAAATGCAAGCTCCTCGGAACAATGCATGGGGCACTATTTGCTGCTATTAATGTGACAGTGTCTCTTTCCCATTTAATCAATCAACAGAAACAGCAGACACTGAAATATTTTTACCAGTAAGTACTCTCAACATGAAATGAGGGAACTTTGAAGAGTGGAAGACATTGAGGTGAGAGATGGAAAAAACAAAAAGAAGAACCCTAAAGCAACAGTGTTTCCTCTCTGTGGTCAAGCAGCGTAAGTACAGACGGGAAATATTATTTCACAAACAGGATGGCTTCCAGCTATGTGTGTTATATTATATTCCTTTTAAAAGCTCATTATTTTTACTTGTTGTTTTAGCCCTAAAGGCACAGCCACCCTAGCACAGCTGTTCTGGGGCTTTCCATTATTCTGCACTCGAGCAGCCAACGTGTAAGAAGCCTTACAAAGAGGCTTACCACATGCAGAGGCAAGGAAGGTGCCCAGCACACTCTGGAGACACAGACCTCATGAGTTCACTGAGTGTACCTTGTTCACCGAAGGGAGGACAGAATCATTCTTGAGTGTCACTTAAGTATCTCTTACGCCTTAGTTACAAAGCTGTATCACCAACACATGATCTAGAGAAACAGCGTACTTAGTCGCTCAGTCATGTATGACTCTTTGTGATCCCACAGACTGTGGTCAGCCAGGCTCCTTTGCCCATGGGATTTTTTCAGGCAAGAACACTGGAGTGGGTTGCCATTTCCTTCTCCAGGGGATCTTCCTGACCCAGGGATAGAACCCGCGTCTCCTGAGTCTCCTACATTGCAGGTGGATTCTTTACCCACTGGGCCATCGGGGAAGTCCAGGATTTCCATAGACAAACAGTACTGCACCCTGAAAAAAGAACCACTCAGGGTACAAGGAATCTTAGAGAGCAGCGACATTTGTAAAATGCACAACCTGAAAACTAGTCTCAGGGCCCTGCCCAAGTACTGAGCGGGTGCCTCGTGCTCTGTCACTTCATCATAAAGACGGAGGTAAAGTGTGGCCGGCGGGGCTTCCAGCTCTGGCCGCTGGCTGCTGATGCTAGTCTGGGGCAGGGTGAGGACCCTCCCCAGGTGGCAGGGTGCTAAGCTATTCATGGAGATCAGGTCTTCCACACAGCCACTCAGAACCCACACACTTCACGTGTTCTGATCAGCGCTGGTGGACAGGTGAGGACCTACAGGAAGGCTGGAGCAGGTGCATCCCATGTAACCACAAGTCTTCATTCAAGAGCTGCCTCTCAGCACTCACCAGGTCCTCTCTCTGTGAGCTGCCACGGACCCTTCCTGCCCAGTGCACCCTCTGCAGCAACCCTCCTGCCTCCAAGACCAGGACTGCCCTAGGCCCCTAGGCCCTCCTCCTTGCCCCTACCTCACCCACCCCTTCCCGGGAGGTCCCCTTGGCAGAGGGGTCTCCGTGAAGACTCCCATGCTGCAGAAGACAGTGTTGCTAAGCGTGTACTCAGGACCGGCTAATACTCTGACACTTTCTTCCTCCAGTGCTGCATTTAAAACCCACATGTAACATTCCTGCATTGCTTCACTGCCTTCTGCCCCTTCCCCCAGCAAGTCCACCAACTCTCCCCTCCCCCCACTCCCTGAAGACTCGAGCCACCGGCTTCAGCATCCTCTCTACCTGGCCCTCATCCTACGGTCACCAAATGCTGTGGTCCCTGTGTTGTCCATCACTCCTCAATGGCCTCCGACAGCTTTCCTTTAGCATCCTACCCTCCGGGGATCAGGCCTGGGTCTCCACTCCACAAACCCTCTTCCCCAGGAGGTCAAAGCCAAGTGCCCTGCACAGAGGCCTGTCACTCATCAATCTTCCTCCACTTCAGTGAGTCTCAGCCCTTCTAATCCCCTCGACCTTCCTCTCCTGTCTGCATTGCAGTGACCAGCTTTTGTAGACACTGGGCTATATCACCCCATTGGTCCTAATCAATAGCTAATGCTCTCCTTCTATATCATTTAACCTTCAGGAGTGGACCAACACAACAGCCTCTGTTCTTCAATTCAACGTCTAAAATGTGCTTCTTGGTATCTGGTCAACTGACACCGTCCTAACCTGGGCTGGTTGGCCTTCCATATGGACCTGTGTGTGTGTGTGTGTGCCTGCTCAGTCATGTCCAACTCTATGTGACCCCATGGACTGTATGTAGCCCTCCAGGCTCCTCTGCCCACGGAATTTTTCAGGCAAGAATACTGGAGTGGGTTGCCATCTCCTACTCCAAGGAATCTTCCCAATTCAGGGATTGAATCCTCATCTCTTGTGTCTCCTGCATTGACAGGTGGATGCTTTACCACTGAGCCACCTGGAAAGTCGCCATGGACCCATGACCCTCAGTAATGACCTGCATCACACACTCATCTCTCCACTCTGTAATCCCCATCACTCCTCAGTCTATCTAACTCTCTGGGGGGTGGGGGGCAAGACTGGGCCTTTCACTATTGTATCCACACAACCTGGCACAAGACATGGTGTCTGGTGGCCACTAAACACTTTTAAATCAAGAAACATCACCAAATATGTGCCTCGGAGGTTATACAAAAGGGCAGACAAGTTGAAAAGCCAATCCTGATGAATAACAACCATGAGCCCAGTAAGATGCCAAGTGATAACAAAGCAATGTAAGAAAGGACATGGAGGGACACTGATTTATGCAGGATTTCAAAGTCATCTGGCAAAATGTGTCATAAAAGAATTACAGGCTATAAATTCACAAATAATCTTAAAAAAAAATGAACAGGGAGAAAGAACAAAACCATTTTAGTATTTTTTCTCTTTGGTATAGGATACAAAGAACAAACATGATTTCAAAACTAACTGATTTTCAATTGCCTACAATTCAGTTAAATAAGACAATTTCCTATAAAATCTTAATCAATCGTGTGAGAAGGAGAGGTAGAAAGAAAAATAAAGAAGTTAGAACAAATCCCCCCTCCCCCACCCTTGAATCTGAAGACAAAATAGACGAGGACTGATTGTCCCATTAGATCCAGAAAATAAAGACGGTTGATATTTCAGGCAAGAGATAACAAATACCTGATACAATAAAAGAAAACCAGGAGAAACCACCTCGGAACCAAAATAAAGGCCCTTCCTTTCCAAATTTAGGTTCACAGCCAAAACTCGAGCCTCTTAAAGGCAACATCTGCATTTTACACCCTCTACTCCATAAAAAAAAAACAGGAAAAAAGACTAAAATCGGCATTATTTCTCAGCACAGAAATGTTTTACCTGCATGAGCTTGGTGTCATGTCCAGTGTAAACAACTATGCCAAAGCCCCACTGAGTGTTTCTAAGCTGTGTGCCTCTCAATAAGATCTGGTCCGGCCCAAGGGCAACGGGGCTAAAAACAAGAAACAACATTTATATTCAATGAGAGTTCAAAAAAAAATGAGCATGAGCTTTCCCCTTAAACAAAAACCCACAATAAATGAAGTGTTTCCTTTAGTCACATTTGGACTATTTCACTGGGACACAGGGGCCATAAAGGTTACCACTGGCTTAATCTACCCCGAAAGAGACCCACACAGAAAGGCTGACCTCATCCATTCATCAACACAGAAAAGGTTTCTTTTTTTTTTTCCTTTAAAACATTAAGAGGAAATATTGTCTCTTATAACTCTATTAGCACACTCAATATGGAAAAAGGAACTTGCTAAGATAACCAGAAGTTTATTCATTTGGGAAAGTCAGTTTATAGATTATAAGAAAAAAAAAAAAACACCAAAGCTATACTATCAGATCTGTAGAAGATGACTTCATTAAATAAAAGCCTGAGTGAAAATTTAGAAATTTAAAAAGATAGTCTACAGAATTGCTCTGCGGACTGCATGAAACCAAGAAAGCTGTCACACTTAGAGTTGTCAGAGGTATCTTAGGTCGATTCCTATGGCTGGGTCCTTCCCTTTGGGTCTGTTCAAATATGAAGGTGAGGAGCGCTAGTAAGAGGCATGATGATGAAAGATGAGCAGAAGAGAGACACTGCACCCCAACGTAATGACAAAAAATGACTCAAATGATAAAACAAGTGCCAAGAGGACAAGGATGACAGAATATAGACAACAGGGCAGTGGACATTCTAATGGAAGGATAGTTGTTCCTTTCATTTAACTTGCTAAAAGCACAGACTACTTAGAAGAAAGCAAAAAGATAAATAAAAAGGATGTTTCTCTAATAACTGTTAGCCTTTATACACTTCAGACACCTCTCTTCTGCTTTTCTGCATAATTTCATGCACTCAAAACCAACTAGTCTTTTACCTGATGGGTAATACACACAGATAGACACCAGGCCAGTTTTGTGAACCTCATTTCAGACCCTTGTGACATTTTCTTGCCAAAAATCAGGTCTTCCCTTAAATTTCAGGGAAGCCTTAAATTGATTAAAATGGTGTTTCGGAAAAAGCTCAACATGGAGAAATTTGTTTTAAAACATTATGAAGCCAGAAGACAAACTGATATTTCCCAAAGCTCCTATATATAATTCTTAAGTCACATTAAAGATTAAAATAAAAACCACTAAGACAAGAGGAAGCAGTACCTTTTCCCATCCAAGTTCAAGTTCCCGGTGAAGTCGTAGAGGTGGCGATTGGGCCCTTCACACTCTATGGTCCCAGACAACTTCATCAGCACCTCCCTGGTCTGCATGTCCGCAGTGTGACTCAAACCCTAAAACGTTCAACCCCAAGAGGAAACTAAACACAACCTTCCAGGCTTAGGAACAACACGCAGCACCCCTCCTGTTAATCCAAAGGGAAGCCTGAATCAACTAAAATGGAATAGTTTTGGGATGGGGGCTCCTCAAACATATCAACCCCTCAGGATGGATCATAGGTGGCTTTGGCCACAGCAACCGAATAGAAAAGGTTCAAAAAAATTCAACAAAGCAGGAAGTCAAGACTCTACTACTATGCTGACACATTCATACTAAAGTCATAATTTGTTGTTGTTCAGTCACTGTCTGACTTTTTGAGACCCCATAGACGGCAGTACATCAGGCTTCCCTGTCCTTCAGTATCTCCCAGAGTTTGCTCAAACTCATGTCCATTGAGTCAGTGATACTACCCAACCATCTCATCCTCTGTCGTCCCCTTTCCCTCCAGCCTTCAATCTTGCCCAGCATCAAGGTCTTTTCCACTGAGTCAGCTTTTTGCATCAGGTGGCCAAGTATTGGAGCTTCCGTATGATAATTAGCACACCAAAACACCTTACAGAAAGCATTCTTCATTAGCGGTATCCTGACAAGACCATAAACACAGAATAAAGTGCCCCTTTAATACACTGTGATGTCTAATGCCCTGTAACTCTTCTCTAACGAGAAAAATAAAATGTCTATGCCAAATATCTAACACAGAAATGAAAACTATGTGGACAGAAGCATCAAATTCAGCTTGGTACTGCAGAAAACTCAAGTGTCAAAATGAATCATTGTTCATTGAAACTTAAAACTTTTCTATCAAAGACTAATCTCCACTCAAGAATGAAAATATATGGTAAGAATAGCTTTATGTAAGGCATGGACGTTTTGTACACTGGAAATCTAATATACTACTCTCTAGAATTAGAATCTCCATGAAAACAACCAAGTCCCGTGAGGCACCCGGAGCCCATCTGGGTCCTCTGTCCACTGCACTTGCTGCCCGCGGCCTCTCCCAGGATCCCTTTCCTCCCACCCGACCAGGTGGAGAGTCCAGTAAGATATACATCAAGACATGGCTCCCTGTGTGGGCTGTGCTCTGAGGAAGCCCACTTGCTTTAGTTTTGTCATCACTCCCAAGGAATCCCGCCCCTGACCGTGCTCTTCCCATGGATCCCATCAGGGTGAAGGCATAACCTTTTGTGACAGAACATTTTGTTCCCTCTGGAAACAGCACCGACGGTTAACCTGTGGGAAGCACCTTTACAATCTGGGCTCTGTGACGACGCAGGCGGTAAAGGGCCACGTTACCTGACGTATTTTAAGGTTCGTCTCCCCGTCCAGGTTGGCTGTTTCAACGTAACACATTGCCTGAGGTTCACTAAGGAGAGAGAAAAAACAAGACAGCCAAGTTGAATAAGGTCCACTCCGGCACTTCACGGCTGACAGAGCCTCCACCACAGAAACTCTGCTGACGGACCTCACAGGGGTGTCAGAATCGACCACCGCGGGAGCAGTGACTGGCTGGGCAGACAGACGGACACTCCAGTCCAGTGATCCGCCCACAAAGACCCCACACTACAGCGCCTGACCCCACGTGGGCAGAAGTAATGGAGGATGAACAGAAGCACAAGATGTCCCAGCTAAGACCGGCTCAGTGGGCTCAGGTGACCTTGAAAGGCGGAGGCCTGTCGGGAGCCGCCGGGACGTGCCCAGGCCGTGACAAGGTCACGAGACGAGAGAGGAACCTGCAAGGCAGCTCTTCCCCTCGAGGTCGCCCCGGGGACCCAGTTTGTCCCCTTTCTCTTTCTGTCTTACTGTTCTGCTTTCTTCTAAATCTTGGAAATGTAATATGCAGTAATCAGGCCTCCCCGGAATAGCCCAAGCCTATCAGGAATTCTCCCCCAAAGCCTAGACCCACTATGCCTCCAGGTCACTGAGAGCCTTATGAGCAAACAGGAATGAAAGGTTTATTTAGATATCTCACAGATCCTCCTCACTGGACAAATAGATATGAAAGGATGGTATGTAGCCATGGATTTGGTCAGTGTAGTTTTCCACGGTATAGAAATGCTCATGATGGCTTCGGCCCAGGACATGACCATAAGCACCGTACCAAGCCAAAAAGGAAAAGGCCACAGGCATAGTTTGGCTGCTTGCTTAGAAGATTATAATGTTCTAGATTGGAAAAGAGTAGAGGCATTTAGATTCAGAAGTAGATGTACGATAGGTTAATGATCTTTGGTCAAGAGGGTTTTCACTGTTGCTATTTCAGTGCTGCTATTTGTCCACTGTTTCCATTCCCTTAATAAACATAGAATATTACGGGTATTTTTGTAGAATTAGAAATATGTAGCATAGGATTTCAATAGTATAGAAAATTTATATTAACCAGCCTCACTGCCATTACCTCACTATTAATAGAGGTATTTTTTGCTGCTTTAGAGGTGTTTTGTGGTCACCACATCGTAGACTGAGGTTTTGTGGTCTCAAGTAAAGAAAAATGTCAGGGTTATTCTCAGAAATGTCAAACATGTTTTTTGTAACCTTTCCCATGTATTGTTTTATTGTCCAAAGAATTCATACTGTATCTGGAATCTATGGAACATTGTTTTTGTCAGAGTGAAAATGTTAGGCCATTGAGGCAAGAAGACTATGTACGGGACATTCAAGGTAAAAACCTGTAATCGGGATTGTTCCAGATAAACTCATTGGGAAAGATATGAGGGAAAATACTGACGGGAGTATGAAACCAACATCTGATGTAACATGGGGTGATGGTAAGGGGGAGGCAAGAAAAATAATTCTATATAATCTGAGCTGTTAAAAAAAGTAGACGAGTTCTTGCATTGCAACCAGAGTCCGTGCACTTCTTCTTGCCGACGCCACTCATCCCTTAGGTATTCAAAAAATAAAGTAGACGAGTTCTTGCATTGCAACCAGAGTCCGTGCACTTCTTCTTGCCGACGCCACTCATCCCTTAGGTATTCCTGGACCCTCCAGGGATGGACTCCAACAGAGGCCGACTTGCCCTTGACCAAAAGAGCTGCCCGGGTCAGGCCCGCACACACGGCATCTGAAGATCACAGCCGGAGGAGCTGAGAAACCAAGGCAGGGGATTGCAGGCCTTTTCTTTCTACAGTTTTTACTATGTCTACAGGCAACTTTTTAATCAAAACACCTAATTTCAAGGACAGAAAATTCAAAGAAGAAACGTAAGCATGGCAGAGACTACGCCCCGACTTCAGATATTCAGGTCCAGGCAGCAGAGTTCGAGTTAAGAGAACAGATGCTATAACCACCGGCCACATAGTCTCCTGCGCTGCTCTCCCTGGTGGGGTGGGCTCTGTAAGCTGTCCCTTGTCCCCTCTGCATCCCTTGCTTTCTCATGGACCAAGTAGGAATGTCTAGGGTTGGTGGGAAGATGAGATGGTATAACGTGCTCAGCAGGTGGCTTGGCACAAATGCCAACGAGCACATGGGAAACACGATGTCTGCTCAGACACGCTGCCTTCAAACCAGGCTTTCTGAGGGTCACATCCAGCCCTCATAACCCACACTATCAAGTGATCAACGTTTTACTATTTCTGAGAGTTACTTGGTTACTGATCATTAGGGACAAACATGAGCCCTGCCCCAGTGTATACAGTGCTTGTCCCTCTCTACAGGCCTGGGGTGCTTTTATTAAGCTTTTTATCTCAAGGGGAAAATCCGTGCTAAGGCTTAAAATCTGACAAAATGAGTGATTCGGCCCCATAAAAGAAAGTCTGTCTGCGCTCAAATCACACACACCCAGTGTGACAGATGATTCCCAGCAGCACATCAGTACAGCATCTAGTTTAACCTTGAGCTCAAGTTCAAGTGTATTCTTATCCTGATTTGGGCTTTTCTTCTCTGACAGATGTTTTTATGTATCATCCAGGGGAAAGTCAAGGACTGAGATGTCTATCATTTATGCCCCTTGGTGATGATACCTCTGTGACACAAATTACCTAGAAAACAAGGCAATGGTGCTTGGACAGAAAGGGGGCAAAATATGGACCATCTGCAAGTCACATGGACGCTGAGAAATGCCCGTGGTCGCTGAACCTCTAGTGAAGGGAGGCCTGGATTCTGGGGAAGGCTGCTGGGCTGGACCCTCCATCAGAGCTGGTCCTCAAGTTTCAGAGAGTCTGTGACCTGGATGCTACTCAACACATCACTCCACTGCTCTGAAACGTTTCCCTACCAATAAGGAACAGCCCAGAACAGCCATGAGATGAAAACGAGTCAAATAACAGAAAAGTTCAGGAAAAAGGACGAGGTGAAGGCAGGGCGACGCAAAGGAGTAAAAGAGGAGGGGCCTAGGAGGGGGTGGTGGCCCGGAGGTGGGCGGAAGGTGACCGGAGTCCCCTCCAGGCACCTGGCGACACTCTACTGTTCTCAACACCGACTCCAAAGCCGTGCCCTCGAGCCCACCTGACCTGGAGGAGAGCAGGACCACGTCTGCGGGAAGGTACTGCCCGTTGACGACCTTGACGATGTCTCCCACGGCCACCTAGAACCCGGGGACAAGGACACAGACGCATGAGAGACAAGAAAGCTCAACGTGGTTAAACATCTGGAGGAAAAATTACTGTGTAACTGTGCCGTGATGTTTAAGGCAGAGAAGCTCAAATTCTTTTCCTCAACAAGAATAAAAACATTTCAGTACAGACGAATGGTAATACTGCCTTTTTACAATGATGCTGAATGCAGGAGCACAAGAGACATGAGTCAAAACGATCAAGGTCTCACTTTCTCACAGCTATTCATCCACTTACAAACACACGCATGTCCACCCCCACGGCTGCGGACAGCCGGGCAAGTGGCTAACGGCACAGATCTAGAGCCTGCCTGGATCAATCCCCCTTCCCCAGGGATACCCCTTCCCTGTGTGTGTAAACATTTGACATTTATATCCAATTTAAAGGCAAAAGAAAGCAAATAATTAAAGGAGATCCCATAATGAAGTCAAAGATGACACACACCTATTTTGACAACCAGCATAAGCAAAAGTACTTACGAAAACTGAAAACGTTTTCTTAATGTAAAAACAGTTTATGTGAATAGTTTAATTACACAGAAGAAAATCAGACGCAATTAGTTACGGAAAAAACTAGAAAGGAAAATTACTCATGTTTTCAAAAGAAAAAAGGCCATGAATTTTTTTTTTTTTTTTAGTTCAAAGTGGGAGGACAGGGAAATTATGGCTTTCCCTTGTCTTTGCTAATGAGGTAGAAATGCTTCTTAGATTAAAAAAAAAGTACTAAGAAGTTTTTTAAATATGACAAGCTACTTAATTGGAATTTCATTTGAAAATAGTTTTCTATCTGGTGTTCTTATGTGTGGTCGTCCCTTACGTGTGTAAGACTACCTAGAGGAAGGTTTCTTAAGGAGGGAAAGGGCCCCCCATCGGTCCCTGAATCCCCTCTTGCCTCACAGGGCTGCTCACAGTTCTGAATAAGCACAGAGGAAGGTCCCGCCAAAGAGCCAGGGTCACAGAGACGCCCCTGAAGCTGCCGCTGCAGCTGAAGAACCAGAACAGCCAACTCCAGCTTACAAGTCTCAGACTCGAGTCGCGTTGCTTGGGGACCCGCGCGGCAGCCAGCTCCCCACGCCTGACCCACCACCCCCGCACATCACCCCAACCTCTCATCACCTGTCCTCTCACACCTTCTCAGCCTTGCTCTGAGCAGCTCTGCGGATGCACTGGCTCTCCACCCACCTCTAATTTTGCCCAGTTAGCTCGTCACTGCAGCATCTGTGAAGCAAGCCTTTCCTGACCTGAACTGGTGGGTCCAGACCACGTGTCCCTCCCTGACAGCCCCGGGCATCTGAGGCAGGCCTCACCCCAGGGCTCAGTGTCCACACAGCATCCTGTTTACCTGCCCATCACTTCCACTACACCTGTGATTCTGGAGTGAGATCCCCAGACCAACAGCATCAACCTCACCGAGGAACTCTTAAAATTCAAATCCTGAGGCCTCAGCCTGGAGTTGCTGGATCAAAGGGTCTGAGAGAGGGGTCCAGGACCAGCCCACCAGGCAACTGGGGTGTAGCTGAAGCCTGACCACTTAAACCCACCCCCCACCCCCGCAAGGGCAGGTGCCAGGCTTAATTCTTACCTGCATTTCAGCGCCTAAGACCGCCTCTGGTCCATGCTCTTCATGCTAAGTCACTTCAGTTGTATCTGACTCTGCACAACCCCATGGACTGCAGCCCGTCAGGCTCCTCTGTCCATGGGATTCTCCAGGCAAGTATACTGGAGTGGGTTGCCATGCCCTCCCCCAGGGCATCTTCCTTACCCAGGGATCAAACCCATGTCTGTTACATCTAACCTGCATTGGCAGGCAGATTCTTTACCACTAGCACCACCTGGGAAGTCTGGTCCATGCTAAGAGATCCAATTTTTAACGGAAATAAAAATGCATGTGGCAAAGCATATAACAGGTATTTGTTTTGTTTTTTCTCCTCTCTCAGCAAACGTCTGTGGGAAACAGTAACGAGATTTAGGAATCTGAATCCGTCCGCTCCTAGATCCAAAATTCTGAGCTCATCACTCCAATTTCAAGCAGTGTGGGGAGATCCCAAATTCAAATAATTCTCCACTCTGGCCAGGATGACTGCCTTTCCGGGGAGTGGGTGGGGAGTGGCCAGGATGACTGCCTTTCCAGGGAGCGGGTGGGGAGTGGCAGCAGGGACTTTAGGGAAAGAAAAGCCAGTCCTCAGTGCCTGGGAGGTTTTCGAGTTTCTCTAGTACTGGGAGCACTGCCACCCTCTGTGGAGACAAGAATTTCCAACCACTTGACGGAGGGCCATCCCACTTCCTAATGCGGTCCAAGTGAGATCAGTTAGTATTTACAGGACAGGACCTCTGGGTGTCTACCAGGTTAAGGTGCTCTACCAGGGGCTAATGATCGCCAGCAACAAAGTTAAAGGAAAAGAACTACAATGAAGGCTGCATTACCACATCTCCAGCATCCTAGAGACTCACAAGGTTATAGAGACATTTTGAAACGTTGCTTATTAAATGCTTAGCAAGAGAAACTCTTATAAGTCACCCTTCTAAAACACAGTCTTCTTCTGAAATGAAGATAGTCAGCTTTGCATCTTGGAATCATGAGTCACACTCCAAGAACATCTTGTGACCGTTGAGCTCCAGTCACAACAGACACTCCCTGAAAAAGCCAACTTTAGTAGACACGAAATACCCAGATGGCACAGCAGGTCCTTTCTCAGTCTTCTATTTCTCACTAGCAACAACCAAATCACCAGGCCGTTCTCAAGCCCTGCCAACCCCAACCTCCAGGCGTGTGGATGCAAAGCCTTCTTGCTCTTGTAAAGCTAAAAGCATCAACAACTCTCAGCGTCAGGACCAACACAAGACGATTCCAAACCCCAACTCCATCACTTCAAATTTAGTGCTAATCAGTCCCAAACCCTTTCCACCAAAAATGTCAGAAGTGAGAATCTCAAAAGTTAAAAAAAAAAAAATCTTAAAAAAATCGAACTGACACTAAGATAGCAAAGAAGACCAGAGGAAAATGTTTCTTGAACTGGGTTTAGAAACTAGAAAATGCTATGAAGTTTTAGAAACATCCATCAAGAGCAATGAATTTCCCAGCTCTGAGCCGACAAGGGGGAACACCTAGAAGATCCAGGAACAAAGGATACACACACCCGTTCTAGGGAAGTCTCAGGGGAAACCATACTGCCACACTTACCTGAAATGGACATGGCTTGTGTCTTAACACAAACTGTATTCCAAAATCTACAGTAACAATTAATTACAAGTCTCCAAGCCAGTACTTTCTGGCATATCTGCCATCACAATATTGTAAAGTAATTATCCTCCAATTAAAATACATAAATTTTAAAAAATAAAATCAGTCTTTACCTCTTTCCACACAATGGTTTGCCACATACCATTCCTTAACACTGAAAAAGAAAAACAAAACAATGTATTGGTTAATACTGATGATAATCAGAATAAAACCAGCTTTCCAAACTCCAAAAGGCTCCTTTTAAAATTCCACTGATTAATCCCACTACACCATATCCTTAGACATAAAGGTGTAACACCACCACTCCCCAAAACAGAGCCCCATCAAGGTACTTACATACCATATATTCAGCAAAGAACACACATAAATACATGTGTACGCAAGGAAGTTACATCTATGCATATTTAGCCCATGTGAAGTAAAGTACATCTCTGTGCTGCTACAAGATTTTACCAAAGCACACATGCACCCCCTAATAACACAGAGCTACTGTTCTAGAAATGCTAGAATAAGTAGACAGAGGTAGGGAGCAATTACAAAGCCAGAGTAGGAAGGCTTTGACTTTTTACAGACACAATGTATGTCTCGCTCCTGAAAACTACCATCTTTTCTTAAATTTTACACAAATCCTGTTCAAATCTTAACTATCAGGACTCACCTTCTACTGGGCTCGTCTGTCATTTTGCTATTTTTAATGTATTTTATAGATTACTTCCCTCAATTTATCTCAACACCATTAACTACCAATTTAAAATTCCTTAAATGCAAGTCTTGTTCTTAAGTTTTCTAGCAGAAAAAGTGAGTCAGCCTGGAATCTTACCTATGGTTTTCTTTTTGTTAACTGCATTGTCTGCCTTATGTCGCTTCTGTTACAGAAAGGAAAAAAGATGTTAGTTTCAAAAGTTCCAAATGAATAACTGAAACATCAAACAATAAGACTGGGCAAAAACAGGACAAAGAAGGCAACTGGCAGGAACACTAATGTCCTAAAATTCAGTTCAATGGACAAGGTCACTCACTAAATTCAGAGGCTAACACAGTAACAATAAATGAGGTTTAAATGCCTATATTTTGGCTATAGCAAGGAACAAGCACTTTGAAGTATAAAACTGTTACTCCTAGATTATTTTAGATTGAACAAAAAGAATTATTCTACATGATTACCAACAAACAATGGAGTTCATTTTATTAATAAAGAACTTTATGGATAAAGTACTTTGGCTTTGATTTACATTGCATTGATTCATTTATCTATTTCCAGAAAAAATGTGTGTGCACGTATGGGAGAGACGGGGAGACAGACAGAGAGGAAGGGGAGAAGAGAGAACCTGAAAAGAAGACAGAAAACAGAGGAGAGTATGAGCCAATGAACGTGGAGACACTGACACAAGGATGAGAGGGAGAAGAGTCTTGTAAAAATAACCTCAGCGCCGCTCCCCTAGACAACCTGACATCAGTCAACACAGACTGAACTACTTCTGTCCCACTGTATGCGTATTTCAGACATTGTGTGTGCACATTTTCTTCCCCAAAATACCATCACAAGCCTTGAGAGGCTGGTTAGCCTACAGACCAATTTTTCTGCCTGAAAGACTCCAAAGCAACGAGTAAGTTGTAAGTTACAGTCAATACAGTGTTGTTATTATCCGAAAGCAAAAAACTTACAAAATCTTCTACAATCTCTTTGATGCCTGCGATTGTTAAAATAATGATCAATGGCACCAGGGTGGTGTATCTTCCTGTTGGAGATACATCTGGAATTTGCTGTAAGATAAAGAAACCAAAAGTAGGGACTGGGCACATTAAAATCCTCTCCATGAAAAAGAAAATACAGCACTCACTCCTCACTCTTCTGTAGTTCTGTCCCGTTTCTGTTGCAGTGATTACCTTATTTTAAAAACTAGCTAAGTGTGTTACATGTCTTTAAAATTTTACCCGACATCTCTGTGTTTGGAACAAAAACAGGGTTAAAGTGGGACCCCGCAATCATATTTCAATGCCTCTTTTCACAACTGCAATTCCCTTAAGCAAACACCTAAAGAATTCTACCTTTATGCAAATATTGCATTCATGCAAACAGTGACTGCATGAAGGAAGCAAATTTCATCAAGTATGATAACACTTTCTCAGTTAAGTGACCTTTCAGCAAGAGCTTATTTTGCATGCAATTAAAGCTATGAATTTTAAATAAACGTCACCTGTAATAAGGCAATGAAGAGGAAGAAGGCATTGGCAGCTCTCCTGATCTGCTCGTACAAGAATCGAGGTAGAAACGTCACCACGCTGTACTTGGCCGTGCTGTGAGGGCAAGGGACAACATTGCTATCAGGTATAGACAGAAATTCTACACAATGAAAACAAAGATTCCGAAATTACACGAGTAACTGTAAGAACAAAATATTTCAAAACTCAGGATAAGAACATTGCTATGCTGGCCTGCTCCTACGAAGCTTCATTGTGTAAAAAGACCTTTCCTAAGAAAATCTTCTGATGTGATCTTGGCTTTCAGACTTTGATGGATATGTGTTTGGTTATTGCCACCCAGTGTAAGCAGGGACATGAACCCACCTTCTGGGAGCCTCGGGCTGTGAACAGAGTGAGCGTGCAATTGATGTTTTTAGAGATAAAGACATGTGTCAAAGGTCACAAAACAGAAAGAGGCACACGTTCCCAACGCAGTAAGATATGAACGGAGAGAGGTGAAGCATCACTGAGAAACTCACAATCAGGGGAGAATTATCACCCTGGGATTTGTGATGCATTAGAATTCTCATCACACAGTCACTGATTCAACGTAGAAAGTCAACTCTGCCAAACATGGTAACTGGTGTATGGTTGGCCGTTTAATGTACCTCTCTGGGCACTCACCACAGGCACTTTACACCACTTCCACACACCCTTCAGTCAGCCACGTTCATTCACATTCCAGCTTCCATGGCCAATGTTCTGTGCTTCCACGCGGTGTCTCCAGGACTAAATGGTCCTACCCATCTTACCCTTCCATGAAGTCTGGTCCAATTCGAAGGCTCTTCCCCCAAGTCACAGTGTGGTGTTTACACCTTTGTTACACAGTCTCTGCTTTGCTTTGTATTATATTTATCTACTCCCAGAATAGACTCTGGGAATAATATTATTTTCTTTATTTAAAAAATAAAGAAATAACAGACCCAAAGTGGAGTCACTAGTGCTCAGCCCACATCTCAAACCAAGACTCAATGCCAGATCTAACGGATGAGTTTCAGCCTCTCTCAGGAATGTATTCTCAACCAGTCTGGAGTCACCTGCTGAGCACTCAGGAGTAATCTGCCTGACAGACCCCCATTCTGTCTCCCCAAAGGAAGGTGACCTTGACCCCAACAACCTATTATTTGCTAGCAGCCTCTCTGCCTGCTCCTATCTGCTTATAAAAATCTTCCACTTTGCAGAGCTCTTCAGAGCTCCTTTCTATCTGCTCAATGGAATGCTGCCCAACTCATGAATCATTGAATAAAGCCAATAAGATCTTTAAAATTTACTCAGTTGAATTTTTTTTAAACAACTTTGACTTCGTATATTCCTGGCACGTAGCGGATAATCAATGAACCATGAAATAATGAAAAGGCCTGAACTAGAGATCTGAGGGATAAAATTAACCATGCCTCCTTTAGCTGCTCAAAGGCTCATCCATAAAAGTACCTGCCTGAGTCCTAGCTCACCTTATGAAGCCAACTCTTCTCTGAGGTACAGTCTCGAGAGATTTTCTAGGTTTAAAATACACTGATGCTGAAGCCGCAACTCCAATACTTTGGCCACCTGATGCAAAGAACTGACTCATTAGAAAAGACCATGATGCTGGGAAAGATTGAAGGCTGGAGGAGAAGGTAATGACAGAGGATGAGATGGTTGGATGGCATCACCGACTTGATGGACATGAGTTTGAGCAAGTTCCGGGAGTTGGTGATGGACAGGGAAGCCTGGCGTGCTGCAGTCCATGGGTTCACAAAGAGTCGGACACGACTGAACTGAACTGAAAATACACCTCAGTTAGAAGCACCAGACAGAAGAGCCAAGGGCTCAGAAGACAGGCCACCTGAGGCACAGGTACTCCTTAAAGACCCGACAGTGACCAAACCTGGGAGGACAGAAGGAAACATGAAAGCAGACAACACAAACAGCACAGTAGCCAGAGGCCATCTGATGGAGCTGAGCAGTGGCTCCGTGGGCCATCTGCAGCCACTGCCTCAGGGAAGACCTAGGACCACAGCCTGGGGTTTCATTATACGGTGATTACTGTCATCCTTGAGTTATCTTTAGCCTTCTTCTGCGCAAGGTGCTGTGATATTGTCCTTCATCACAAGAAACATGTATTTGGTTTTCATCCCAGTTTCTGGCACAGAGCTCCCAAAACCCTGGGGACTGCCACATTGTTGACAGAGATAAAGGTATCTTTTGTTACCTCAATGAGGTGACTCATGGAAAGCCCCTAGGATGCTGGCTGGTTCCCAGAGGAACCAACCACATGATCAGAGGGTTGGAAATTTCAGTCCTGCCCCCTCCTAAGAGAGAAGAGGGACTGGAGATTGATTTCAATCACCAACAGCCAATGATTCACTCAACTGTGTGTTTGCAATGAAGTATCCATAAGAACCCAAAAGGACAGGCTTTAGAGAGCTGGAGGCCCGAGGGAAGATCTAATGTAGCGATTCAAGTCTGTAGACCATCTGCTGGCAGAATTCCTTCTTCCTCAGTGAGGTGACTCTTTGTTCATTAATGCTGTCAGCTGATCTGACAAGGTCCACCTACATTACCGTGGGTAATCTGCCTTATTCAAAGCCCATCAATTTAAATGTAAACCTCATCCAAAAGGCACCTTGAAAGAAACATCTAGAGACATGTTTGGCCAAATATCCAGGTGCCATGGCCCAGCCAAAATGACATGGAAGATTAACCATCGCATGTATATCCTGATTCAGTGGGGCTTCCCTGGTGGCTCAGATGTTTAAGAATCTGCCTGCAATGCAGGCTACAAGGGTTCCATCCCTGGGTCAGGCAGATTTGCTGGAGAAAGGAATGGCAACCCACTCCAGTATTCTTGCCTGGAGAATTCCATGGACAGAGGAGCCTGGTGGGTTACGGTCCGTGGGGTCACAGAGAGTCGGACATGACTGAGCAACCAACTTCCTGATTCAATAGGTCTGGCATGGGTCTCAGATTTTGCATTTCTAACAAGTTCCCAGGTGAGACCAGAGCTGCTGGTCTGAGGACCACAGTTTGAGTGGCAGCTACCCCTGAGGAGGTAGATGTATTCAAATCTCACATTTGAGTTCAGTCCAGCTGAACATTACATGATGTAATGGGATGGGAGATCTTTACCATCACTGCCCCGGGTGAAGAACACGTACAGGATGACCGGGGTGAAGGAAGAGCTTCCCAACAGAAGAGTCTGTCACTGGGTGAGCTCACTGACCCCACAACGTTCCCCCTCAGTCTGCAGGCAGCAGCACCCCTGAAAACCTGGCCCAGCATCGGCTGCCAGCGAATCTCAGGCACTGAGCGAGTCCGCAGGGCCTGGGGCATGGGGAGAAATGACCAGGAGAAAACAGAACTGTACCCTGTCATTCAGTCCATCTAAACACCTGTCAAACCAGTGTTTCCTGAAATCGGGTGACATGAAGAATGACCAGGGGCTTGACAAAAATCCACCCATGCATCCACAGGTATATCCCGAGCCCCATCCATATACCAGGCATGGGGCCAGGCACTGTGGGAAACCGGAGGGTCACAAAAGCATAATCTCAAGGGAATTACATTCCAGAGGAAAGTGATTTAAAAACCAATGCATGGCAGGATAGATGATGATGAATACCATGGAGGGAAACAGACCAGGGATGGAGGGCGGGGGAAGAGGTTGCTTTCAATGGTGATAAGAGACCATGTCGCTGAGAAGGTGACCTGTGAGCAAAGGCCTCTCTGGGGACCTGACTCAGCAGGGCCAGAACTTGGCTACATGTGTGGTGGATACACGCCTTGCGGAAACTCTTACAATGTGGCAAGTGTGGGAAACAACCCATCAGAAAATAGGGCCTGGAGAAATGTGTGTCGAGGGCTCCCCACCCATCACACGTCATAAGCACTTACAGAATCTGACCTCCAGAAGGCAGCCCCAGGACCAACCCTGAAATGATGTCGGAGTGTGAATTTTCAGCTGGGAGAAAAATTCAAGTTGATTTCCAAAGGCAAATCTAAAAATTCAACAGCTGCTCAAAGTGTAACTTCCCTGAATAACAAGCCTCCAGAAACCCAGGAACCAAACTAGCTTACATTCTATGTGTGAACAGTAAACACACACTGGGGTGTTTTCCTTCTCTGGCCCCACACAAATAAATTTCTTGCATGAGCCTAATATACCCAAACTGTTTGATGTTTACTGGAAGGGCAGAGCCTGTTTAAACCCCTTCACCCCTTTGAGCTGGCCAGGGGCTCTAACACCCTGTTCTGGTACCCTCCACTCTCCCCAGCTCCCTGCAGGAGACCTTCCACCTTTCTGCTCTCACATACTCAATGAGAAAGAAGTTCTGAATTACTGGAGGAAGAAGACATGTCTTCAGTCATTCATGTCCTCATAAACAGCTTCATTCATTTACCCCTTCATTCATTTATTCCATTTATTCCATGGAACAGTCCATGCGATGTTCCAGGCCAGAATATTGGAGTGGGTAGCCGTTCCCCTTTTCAGGGGGTCTTCCCCACCCAGGGATCGAACCCAGGTCTCCCTCATTGCAGGCAGATTCTTTACCAGATGAGCTACCAGGGAAGCCCAGTAACACTGGAGTGGGTAGCCTATCCCTTCTCCAGCAGATCTCCCAACACAGGAATCAAACCAGGGTCTCCTGCATTATAGGTGGATTCTTTACCAGCTGAGCTATCAGGAAAGCCCTATCTACCCCTTAAGAGTCCATTATTCTCTAACCCAGATCACTCTATGCAAAGCCCCCAGGAGACCCCCTGCCATTGACAACTGGTCTCACCACACACCTAGGACTCACCCAGGAGGACATGCCAATGGATGGCCAGGCCCACCGTCCTCTCCCCGGGCTGGGACTCCTAATGTGTTGTCAACCACTCCTCCCAAATTATATTCTGGAAATCTCAAATGCAAAAATCCCTCTTAATCACCAGTGCCCATCCACATGAATATAAGACCACTAGAAAGTTTTACCTCATTTTACTAAACTACTAAAATTTTACCAGTTGCACATCAGAGGTTAATTAACTCATTTCAAAATGTTGACATATTTATTTTCAACACTTCTCTGATT